TCTATCATAAACTACTTTACTTTAGGGGAGCGAGCTGGCGTAGTGGTTAGAGCGCGGGACTTCAGTCCCTGAGGTCCCGGGTTCGATCCCCGCCAAGTCACCAATGGATTTTATCTAAGTGATAATGCCGCAACCCCTAGGTCTAGCCTGAAGTAATGTAAAAAACAGTCCCAGGTTCGTGCCTAGTGTCCTAGGAAAAAAACCATAAAGTACTTTACTTATTTGTAATTAATGTATACTTTTTGAGGTTGTTTGTAGTAAAATATTGTCCATCCTTCAAAATCATTTTTAATTTTCTTTTAGTCCACAATATTTAAAGACCAATATTTAAAATGTCAGCTTAGAAGTTCTTCTGATGGCATATTTTGGTATCTTCCACTCTCAAATTAGCTTTGGAATTTGACTGTGGGGAAACTCTGCTGCCTCCAACAACATATTTACTTGGCAAAAAAAAAAAAACAAAAAAAAAACAGCTCAATATTTTAACTTTGCCATCACTGTAAATTTTTCAACCTTATGTATGTAAAAGAAGGTTTAGCTAACTTTCCCATGCATTACAGCAATCATAATCACAACACTAGAACTAAGCACAATATTGTTACACCTTATATTAGATTAAGTAAAACACCGTCAAAAGCTACCATTTTCAACAGTATCTATTGTTCAATAAGTTACCATTAGAAATTAGAGCTCTGTCTGTAAATAATTTAAAATCGTATGTAATGGCATTCTAAAAAACAAACGCCTTTTACACTGTAGTAAGCTACTAATGTCATTTGAATAAAGTAGTATCTAAGTTAAAACACAAAAAAATGCTTCATACACAAAATTTTGTTATACTGTTCGATGTTGCCTATTACCGTAATAAGTTTAATGGCATCAATAAATTCTTATTGAGTGTTATTGAGTCTTATTTATTGAATGATAAAGATTTTGGTGGCTAGTCAAGGAAAACATTGTGGATAATTAAGTTCCCACTTTCTCCTTTTTATTTCTCACCTTTACGTCCTTCGACGATAAGGCTCTAGCTCTGAACTGTTCGCATTTTTAGGCTAGGCCTAGAGGATTGTGGCATCATATGATTAGCTGAAATCCATTATTGATTGGCGGGGTTTTTACCAGGAACATCTGGGACCGAACAACACGCTCTCCCAAAAGAACAGCTCGCTTCTCTCATGAAGTTACCACTTTAACGTGGTAGACCCTACTGAATATGACAGTGTTGTACAGAAACTGTAAATGTTTTTGCCAACTAACTGATCCACATCACAAGTTTAAAGATCTTTGGCCTCGGCCTGCAAAATATTATTCATCTTTTAAAGTGGTGTTCAAAACAGCTTATAACATAATAGTCGATTAAAAACACTAGTTTTGAAACAGCACTTTTCATTTTTGGAAAAGAAAACAGCTTGAACAATTTTTAGAGACACTTTCAATCTCTCAGTCTGGGAAAAACATCCATAGTAATATCAAAATATTGATTTAATTTGATTCAATCAATAACCTTAATTGGATTAAATGTACTGCATGGTCGGTTAGTAACCTATTGGCAAGATACAGTACATTAATCTTGATTCTTCATTGTAAGATTGACTGAAAATATTGATAGGCAAACTACATTGCCACCTGATTTTCATTTTCTCCCCCTATAAATACATGCATATGGAGAAAGTATTGTTTTCGTCAAATTTTTTAGTTCCAGTTTTAGTTGGATATATTTGTTTTGGGTACCCCTGAACAAAAAACAAGGTTTTTTAAAGTGATGCGTGTGTTTCTGTATGTATGTGTGCACAGCTACAAACTACACATATGGTCCGATTTTGATGAAATTTGGTTTGTGCACTAATTTATGGTATCTCCAGGCTTATTTAACATTTTTGGAAATTTTAATATTTTGTTGTGATCTAAATATTTTTCCTATAAAACCCTATAAAAATCGGGGAAAAAAATTTAATTTTCTAAAAAAAACTTTCCAAACGATTTTATATGAAATCGAGCATGTCGTAGTCCTTTTAAATACAAAACGAAACGGTACAACTCATTGCTGTAAAAATTACGGTTCAAAAGTTATTGTAACTTGTGTGATTTTCCCGTTTCAAAAACGAATATGTCCTCTAAAAACTCAAAACTTAAAAATGTCAACGAAAATAATACTTTCTCCATACACTGTAGCAACCTCATATACAAGTAAAAATCGGAGATTCTAGAAAAAGCTCGACCGATTTTGGTTAAAGTTTTGTATTTTGTGTTTCTTATGATTCTAAACTGAATGGTATAAAGTGCTGTAAAAATTACTGTTCAAGAGTTATTTCAACTTTTCTGATTTTCCCCATAAAATACTACACTTTTCCCCTCTGACCATGATAAGGCTAATGGGAGAAAATGCGTCTCAGATTGCCAATACCGTTAATAAAATTGTTAATCAACATGTGTAACCTATTCTTTCATCTCAACATCGTCGGAAGAGACACTATTGATGTTGAACACAAACCACAACATTTTCTGAGAGACGGCTGTACATTTTCATTCTTCTCTCAACTAGTGTCGACCCGATGGTTAGTATCAATTGAAAGACAATTTAGATTGAGTCTGTTGTCTTGAATAAGAGTCTGATTTGTCCCACATAGCTTTGCTCTGGTTGTATTGTTCCACTCAAGTTTTTAGAAACTAGAAATATTTTTATCCGCATTTTACGAAGCTAGGATGTATACAATGCTGATGTAATTGTAATCTGTATTTGTCTATTTTCAGGGAATATAGACCTGATTTAATATATTATAAAAATATCCCCGCCACAGCAAACCTGCAGACTAAGCGAATTTCCAATTGCCTGATTGGATTTACTCTAAAAACGTTTCCTTAAAATATCACATTTTTATTCCCTATAAATATAATTATTTTAACGAGCACCTGCAACAGGGAGGGTAAAAAATTGTTATTTTTTTAATGTTATGAGTTTAGTAAGATATGAGTGCACTTTCCAAAATTGATCAAAATGTTCATAAACAAGCAAACTACAACAGTTTACTTATTCTCCATAAGAATAACATGGGTATTTTAAATTTACAATTTTTTTTTTAAATTTTCTCGTTAATCTTATGTTTTTGGGTCAAAAATGGGAAAACCCAATTTTTACCCCATAAATCCCCCATAACACCCCGTTCCCATAGTCCTATCATGCTGGTTTGCGAACTCGTTAGAATAAATGTAGGTTTACACGTTTATACCAAATTACATCAAAATCGGATTATTTTTGCTCGAGTTATCGTGCTAACGGACAAATATATAAGACAGTGGTACCAGGTACACTTTTTGTTTGTTGTCCAACTAATATTTATTCGTCGATAAACAATTATTCTATAGAATACGTGTCATGTTGACAGTATATTATCAAAATATTAATTTAACAACACCCATATAAATTTTGATCAATAAGTTATTGCAAAAAACGTCACGTCAGTCAATATAAAAATGACTTGGTTAAGTTTTTCAACTAAGCCCATCACTATACGAACGCATATCAAAATTACACAGTGCCAATTCATGAGTGACTCAAGTAGCAATGGTTTTACTATGAAAGGGGTCACGACGAAATGAGTTGGGGTTCGGGGTACAACACAAAGAGGGGGGAGTAAATGAAGGGGGGATGCAGAATCCAGATTGCAGTGATAACCGTAGTGGCCTAGTGGAAGTGAAGTGGTCTCCGGGACTGCACTTTCTGTCAGCTGATCAGCTGATCTGGTGAGAGTTCAACAATGTTTAAATGGTTTCTTGGAATTTAGTCCAGATGGTTGATTTTGGGGACATTTTTGCGATTACGTTACCACTATGCGAAAAAATTAGAATTGGTGACAAAGTAACTTCCCTACTTCAGAATCTTTATTGTCGCATGATTTTAACAATATTTCAAACCTTGAAGCTAAAAAAATTATTAACATACTTTAAATAGTGAACTTTCCTGTTATAAAAAATTGTTTAGCTTTGAAGAAACATTCGCTTGTTATAATATATGACGTGAAGTAGTTTCCGTCTGATTTGAAAAAAAAACTCTTAAATAGCTTTTAGCGAATTTTCCATATAAAGAATAAGCTATTACCGTATATGTCTCAAGGTAAGACCTGGCTCCGGGATCATTTTAATTTTTGTTTTGAAGTCCTCAGAGACCAAAACACAATCTGTTCAAATTTATACACATGTCCGTCAGCACGATAACTCAATACAAAATCAACTTAGACCTACTTTGATGAAATTCTGTACAGTCGTATAAACCTACAAATATTTAGACGTGTACCAGTATGATCGGACCATGGGACTGTGGATTTATGGGGGGGGGGGGGAGGTTTACGGGGTTAAAATGTGGGTTTACCATTTTTAACCCTTAAAATTATAGCCTATATACAATTTTAACCCTTATATATTATATAATATTTAGGATTTCGCTGTTTTTAAAACATTCCAAACCATTTTTAGAGGTCAAAAATCAGATAATTAAGTACAGTGAATTGTCGTTGTATGTCTAATGTTTACGGAGAAAGGTAAAAAAGAAACTATAAATTTTAAACTCCCATGTTTTCTTAAGGAGAGTAAATGAACTATTTCAGTTTACTTGGTTATAGATTAATATGTTGATCAAATTTGGTAAACAAATTGATTTTTTACAAAGCTATAAGCATTTAAGTAAAAAATCATTATTATCGTTCCTTGTAGCAGAAAATCGAAGTACTCACTTTGCAATAATTTAAATAGTGAATTAAATCTAACATAAGTGAATATTTTAGTTGATGTCCGATCAGGCAAATGGAAATTGACTTGGTCGTCATGCTTTCTGTTACAGAGGTATTATATTTAACATGCTCTCCTTGATTCCAACACAATTTACTAACCATCAATTTACATTTCATCAACGCAAAAACGTTAAAAGAATCCAGTTAAGGTTTAACATGTTAAGAGTAACATACTTGTTACACATGTCTTATTTACTTAACAACTTCAGCACACGAAACGCGTAAAACTCAGCTGCTGACGCACCTGGTGACGTCATAGCCGGCGCAGACGCATCACATTTTGCAGCATCGACCACAATCAGGACCAGTGGTCTGGGTAAGCATCTCCACATAACCTATCCTTGAATTTATTATACTTAACTCTAAATATAAGCCGGTCACATGTAATTAATTAAAAAAATAATAAATTAATTTGTTTATCTAATGATGTATTTTTGTTAGGGTTTTCAAAAAAATTTGGAAACTCAATTTCGAACTTCAGCATCCGATCTCACTTTCATTCGGATTGGAAGTGAGATTGAAATGAGCTAAAGATAGCACATTGATTTTCTTGAGGTAATTAATCCGAAAAAGGATTATGATTAGGCTTTGATTGGATTGTTGCAACTAAGTGAAGGGTTTGGAAATAGAGACCAATTTTTGAGTTTCTAGATTTTGTGTAAATATTTTAAATTTGTATATTGTGATGTGGAGGTTTTATTAAAATTATTTAAAATTGGGTATTCTCTGTTAATTGAACAGTTTTGGTGTTTATTTATCAATAGCAACATTTATTGACTCACAAGTAAAATTTAAAATTGAGTAAATATGGTAAAAAACGAGCTCGAAAAATCTTTAAATCGCACAACAATTATTTTCACAAATACGATAGTAATGATAATTTAATATTATTTTATACTGTAATGTGGAGCTTGTTAATGATTTAAAATGGTGTTGATGGTTTTTCTCTGTTTATTGAACAGCTTTAATGTTTATTTACAAATAACAGCTTTTACCGACACACAAGTAATATTTAAAATTGAGGAAATATGGAAAAAATCGAGCTACGTGTTTGCCCGTGTTAAATATTAAATTGTTATTTCACTAGCTATATTTTCTATGGCGAACAACGACTAATTTCACAATAACAGGATAGTAATTAAAATGTAATATTACTTTGTAATCACAATTTTCAGGCCCATCATAAAAAATATGTATTTCTAAATATAAATTTGAATTGACAAAAACGATTGGTTTTATAGTTTATCGTTTGAAATGTTTTTTAAGAACTGTCCCTACAATAAAGAAATGCATAAAGAATAAACATTTATCTTTACCCCATCTCTATGTGCTGAAATTGCTTGTGATATGACATTATATTTTTACGTTCTCTTCAACTAAAACAAATTTTAATTCGTAATTTCGTCGTTTTAGTAAACAGCCATGTTATATATTATGTCACTTATTTATTGTAAAATATATTACCGGTATCGCATTGCTGTGATGTAAAAGTGACTTGAGGAATAGTGATAATTTTATATTTTAGCAAACAACAAATAAGTTCAGCACATACACTGTATTTCTTACCTGATACAGCAAGCTAAGAAAATCGGGTTAGTAAAAACTTTAATTTGTCGTTAAACCTACGAATTTATTTTTATTTTTAGAGGCAATCAAAACTTTTTTATTTTTCCATCGGTTTTCGGCAAATTTATTTAGGGTTCTTGGTCCTTTATGGTATTATGCAGAAAGCAGTATCCGAAAAATATCTACACTACTTTTATCTGCCAATTGAATTATACGTAACACGTAATATAAATCTAATTACATAATATTTCTTAGTTAACGATTTATTTACCTAAACTTAATTTGACATTAATTTTTTTCCAACCTAGTTGAATTTGGAGATATACTAAACGATTTAAATAATAGAATGACTCGATAAACTCAATTCTAATTTGTTTTTAATTCGTAAAAGTAATAACTTATCACATTCATAACGTATACAAGAAATTTGATTGACATACACAATGAAATGTTAACACACGTACAAAGGGTCTTTGAAACAAATGAGGTCCAAGCAAATAAACGAAGACTGCAAGAAAAGCGCAACTTTAGGGGAGGGAAAACGGGTGCTTGAAAAGACGAGTCCTCCGCGGTACATAAGTGCGTTCTTAGCTTGTCTTCTTGATTGCTCTACGAGTTACAGTTTTACGTATACTTTATAAGAAATATAAATTCTGAGTAAAGAAAAATTAATAAAAAGCTGTATTATTTTGACAAAAGTGTTATAGTCTTACAGTATTCACTTTTGTGTCAAGTTAAAATAATTTTTAAAGTGGATTTTATTAGGCTAATGTAATGGATAATATTGATAACAGTTAGTTAGTGGCATAGTTAAAAATTACGATTAAACTTAAAGTTACTGTGGAATCCCATTTTAGAACTGCAAGTTTATACTATGTGTTGCATACTTATTTATATCGTAAGAATACTATTTCTGCAAGCTGTTTGCGTGTGTTTGTAACATTTTAAATAATGGTGGTCTATAGTTACATTTATGATTGATAACAATATAAATACAAGTTATTGATTAAGCTTGCATTCATCACTCTTTTGGGCTTTGCTGGATAGGGATCCAAACTTCCAGTTTAAATCTCTTATACACAATGCCAATAAAAATAAAGACATTAAATAAAATGCTATCCCATAAAATATTACTAGAAAATACCTCTCCAAAAATATGATTCTAAAATACTTTTAGCAACATAAAAACACTCATGAAATACAAAATACCCCCACCACAGCAAACCTGCAGACTAAGCGAATTTCCATTTACCTGGCTGGATTTCTACTAAAATATTCCCTAAACATTTTCAGATTTATTTCCTTTTTAAATAACATTAATTTTAGTGATTACTTAAGTTTGCTGCTACAGGGAACATATTGAGGTGTGTTTTTTTATTGCAATGTTGATAGCTTAGTATTAAATAAACAAAATTTCCAAATTTGGTTAAAATATATAAATAAACAAGCAGACTATAACCGTTCATTTATCTTCCATAAGAATAACATACTTACATACTCCTGTGGCCACACAAATCCCAAGTGATTTTTGGACTCGCCAACAATGCACATCCACCGCTGCCTGTCCTCTGCTGTCTCTAAGAATCCTGAGTTATCCTCTATAAGAATAACATGGGATTTTTTAATTTAAATTTTTTTAAATTATCTCCATAGCTTTTGGGCATACAACAACACTTCAATAGGTATACACAATTATTTCTTTTTTTAAGCTCTGCAAAATGGTCTGGAGAGAAATTATGATATTTTGTGTTTTTAGGTTCACAAATGGAAAACATACCTACATTTTTACCCCACAAAACCCCGTTCCCATAGTCCGATTAGGCTGGTTTGCGAACTCGTTCAAATAAACGTAGGTTTAAATGTTCGTACCAATTTCATTAAAATATCAGATTATTTTTGCTCGAGTTATCGCGCTAACTGACTTATATATATATTACATAAATTTGAACAGATGGTGTTTTTGGCCTCTGGGGACCTCAAAACGAAAAAGTAAATTGGTCCCTGATCTAGGTCTTGTCTTACCATGAGACCTACAATAATAGCTTATTCCCTATATGGGAAATTCGCTAATATTCCCTTTATGGGAAATTCGCTAATATTCCGTATAATGTAAGGGAAATTCGCTAATACTTCCTATATGGGAAATTCGCTAATATTCCCTATATGGGAAATTTGCTAATATTCCCTATGTGGGAAATTCGCTTAAAAAGTCAATTCAATCTTAATAATAGCATATTATATTAGTTATTACCTTTTTCTATAGGGTATATTGTTTATGTTGTACTTCATTACCCTATGAACCATCAGCATGTGTGGCACCCCCAAGCCCAGGGGCTATATCGATTTTCTACCTCCAGATTCTGAGCTAATCCTTCTCTGGTTTACTTTGGCTAATTTATCAAGGTTCAGATCAAAGTTAATTGAAGTTTTGGTTATGTTCTTGATCAATTCTCTTCTGGTCCTGTCCCAATTCTTCTCAAAACCGTAGTTAGAGTGCTCTTATGGCTAATCCAGCAAAGTTCAGATAAAACTCTGGCCTAGGTCTGGCCAGGATTGGTTCAGTTTTAGTCATAGACTTATTTTAAGGCTCAGACATTCATGATTGTGTTCCAGAAATGTCACTCAGCCAGATGGTGTAGTATCGCAGCCAAGATGGGAGTCTACTTGGTGGGTCTAGCGGGTATCCTTGTCTTCTACCTCCTTGTGTTGGTAGTTGGTATCTGGGCATCCACCAAGCAGAAGAACCATGGCGAGGAAGAGATCATGTTGGCTGGAAGGAGTCTTGGACTTGTTGTTGGAGTCCTTACTCTTATAGGTAATGTTGGCAAAACTTAGCGAATCATAGGTACAACACCTGTAAGATCATAATATAACCTAGGTGTGTATTTTAACCCAAATATGAGTGAAAGATGAGCGTAGATTGGAGTGTGATTCTTTGTTACTGACTAAGATCAGCTGTGTTTCATTAATCAGGATCGTTTATCAAAAGCCCAAGGATTAAGGACAGTTGGGTCCAGTTTCGAACCATCAAAAGCTACTCACTTTTCTCAGGACCAACTGGCTGGTGACCTTTTGAATACACTTTGATTGTTAAGACACTTATGCCAATCACAGTTTCAGTAACTGTTATATTGTAATTGCCATGTCAAGAAAGTTTCAGAAACTAATTTGATGTAAAGCTGTGTTTTCCTGTTACCGAGGTATTTGTACTATTTCAGCCACATGGGTTGGGGGAGGTTACATCAACGGAACAGCTGAAGTAATCTTCTCCCGAGGACTCGCCTGGTGTCAGGTTCCCATTGGATACAGCCTCAGTCTTATTTTTGGTAAGTTATGAGTGTTTTATTTATATGGCTATAGGTATTGTTTAAAGCTGTAGCATTGTTATAAGCAAGGTTTGGTAGGAAAAATGTATCTCATCACTTAAGTAATCTACAATGTACATAACCCCATTGTTTGGGCCAAAATGAAATCCTATCCTGATTCCTTTTAACTGTGAGTTTGTATGTTCAGGAGGGTTACTTTTTGTCAAACCCATGAGGGAGGCGAACTACGTCACGATGTTGGACCCTTTCCAGCTCAAGTACGGCAACAGGGTCGGAGGCTTGTTGTTTCTTCCGGCTCTGTGTGGAGATCTCTTCTGGTGTGCTGCTGTACTCAGCTCTCTGGGTGAGTGGATTGAGCTTTCTGACAGTCTGACACAAAAGTAACCAAAATTTCAGCTCAGTAGAGGTGTTAACTATTCTCAGAGATTTAGACACTGGTGCTGTTATCTATCTAGACTATGTTGGTCTTCATCAATATTCCATAAATTGTTTTGTTCTCACCCCAAGAACAAAGATTCTACTACTGAAGAAGAAGCTAGTAGCTTAAAAAATTGTGTGTTCATGTGTTATTTGTGCTTTAATTCATCACATTTTTATCAGTAAGGAACCTCCCTAATAATGTTCACGATTAATTAAAATTCTCTATTTGTCAGGTTTCCTAAAATAAACGTTTACAACAGTTTCTCTTTCACTTAGGCACTTGCTTTTGAAATGTTAACAGCAATTTCCCAGTTATGTCAGGTATGAGTGATCTCAAAGTGTTTACGACTCTTTCTCTCTTTGACTGAAAAACAATTATTTCTCTTGTCTCAGGCACCTCCCTGATGGTGATCATGGACCTGGACATGACAGTCAGTATAGTGACCAGTGCGACGTTCGCTGCAGCATACACAGTGGTGGGGGGGATGTACAGTGTGTCCTACACAGATGTGCTGCAATTGGGGTGTATAACACTTGGGCTGGTATGTGGCATTGACTATACTGCAGTGTGTACATTTGTTAGACTTAAGTGATTTTGTACTTAATATTTGTTCACACCATATAATTGTTTGATAAGCATTCTTATATTAATTTAGCATTCATTTTGTGAAATTGTTGTGGGTTGTATTCACCTCCTATTTTGTCTGGTATATCCAGGATTTGTTATATACATTTAGACACACACAAAATCGTCCATGGGGATCAAGTCCGACGTTTTGTGGAACCCAAAAAACCTCACTTCAGGGTAGAAAAACTTGATTTTTGTCATGCATGTGGGTCAAACACCTAACCCCAACGTGTGCGGGACAACAATCGCAAGGTTTCCTAACCCGAAGAAGCGGGATGTTTTTCAGGTTTTGATTGCATTTGCTAAGTGTGTATGTCTAACTGTATATGATGAGTCATGGATACACCAGACCATAATAATGGTGACTGAAGTCTACAAAATTTTCAAAAATGAATAATGCCTCACTTAAAGAACCTTTTTAGTTTAAAAATTGTAAGCATTGGTCCAAAATCAACATGTTATTCAAAATTCAATACAATGGCAACCCGCCTCCCCCTCGCGAAGTTATATCCTGAGAACCGACTTTCAAGCAAATTTAAGTCTTATCCATTATAACTTAGTACAATCATGAGTGGAAAAGTTTGAAGAACAACAAATATGTGTATTAGTAAACTCCAGTAGATACTATAAAGGAGGAATATTATCTCCCCATCTTTATGTAAGTACCAAAATAGCTCTAGCCAGAAAGCAGTGATTTTTGTTCTTTGCGTATAAGTATGAACAAAAGCTTCATATGAGTTAGTCACACTCATACATGACTGGCCTGACAGAGCTTACCGAAGTCTAAACCTGAGATCCAAAAAATTGAGTCTATTAAATTGTACCAGATAAATGTAACATTTAAAACAGTTACAAAAGTTGTAAAGAAAAAAAGAAAAGCAACTCAAACTTAGACTCTCATATATTTAAATGTTATATTTAAATATATTTACTCCTTGCAATGCTCTTTAATGAATTCTTTACAAATGTTGGTTGCCCCTAGGTTGGAAGAACTCTAGAAAATAAAAATATCAGACAGAGCTTTTTGGCAGTGGAAGCTTGATGTTATTGAAAAATATGAGTGGACCCTGCAAAATATAAATATTCCCCAAAGGTCCTTAGGGGACGCCCCTGGCACTGTTTGTAGTTCTTCCAAAAAAGTAATACCTTTAATGAGATCAATTTACCAGTCTTAATTCTACACTGAATTTACTTGCTCACTACTACACTAGTGACTAGTGTTGCACTTAAAAGGTGAATCTTTTGTAGTGGCTTATGATTTACTGAATTACCTTTCGTTTATCAATTAAATACTATTGCATATACTAAAATACCAAGGTTATTGAGAACTAAAAGTGAGTAACAATTTGAATTTATTGCACAGAATTTAATAAATACACTTGTTTCAGTTTACAGTCGTTGTTGTGTTCTTTTAAATAAAAATGACCTTGAGATACACAATCAGTTGGAAATTTATTGAAACTGCTGAATGGATTTATCAAAGGGGAGGTATGGTGCGGTTTCACACCGATCTCGAAAGTATCAATGGAAGAGTGGTATTTAATCTAATAGTTGAGATGACCTGTACCAAGCAAATCCTTTCGTTGGCCAACGATTAAAAACGAAGGTCGTCTCGCAGTCCAACTGATTGAACAATATTGTATTCAATCGTAGTAATGTTTATCAGAATGTTGCTTTATTATTTTATAGCTAATTTGGTACTTTGGTGGTTCATCTATGTTCAAACTGGCACAACCTCCAACAACACTTCCGTATCAATCGAACCAGCTACCTGCTCCCTCCTCTGATAATAATTTATTTCCCCCAAAAGATGCTGACTGTGACACTCTTTAAAGGAATTGTACCATTTGCTCAACAATGAAAACTAACAATGACTCTGTGTAAAAATTCCAACACTATAAAAATCTTATTAAATAACACTGAATTGCCCTATAAAAACATTTTCACCTATTTATTCTTAATACTATAGGATTATTACAATCTAATTAATAAAGCGGATTGCTACAATGTGAATGGATATGAAAATCAGTGATTTGAATTCGAACCTGTGAACATGTGCTTATTCTACATGAAATGACAAAACAAGACAGGAAAAATTTACAAAAGTGCGACTCACTGAAATCTTAAATTAACAAATAAATAACACAAATTACTTACAGTTTGGACGTCCACAAATATAACACAAATAAAGGGGAAGGGATTGGGAAATGTAACTAGCCGGTATTCTACAAGACGCGATGAATTGAACTCGTGAAACGAACGTGTAATTTTCAAATGGCGGAACTGCGTTGGCCGGTAACGAACTTTTTCACTTTTTGACAATGACACTGATTCTAATTTCCAATCGCGGGGCAATTATATCCCTTAGGGATATAGGCTGTACGACTTTAAGGAAATTTAAGATTGCCCGACCAAACGCCGCGAGATGAATTTAATTTCCACGAACGAAAAACAATTTTACCGAACTAGTTACGATGAGATTTGGATAGGAACTGGCCACTCGTGGGAGCAAATGACCACCCGGCTAGACTTCTCCCCTCTCCTGCTTTAGTGCGTGGTGCATTCTGGTCTATACTGATCTATTGTTTAAACCAGCTGACTGTTCTTCGCGTTACCCTGTATTGATTTGTTGCCTTTTTACAACAAAATCGGTACAAAGTGTAATTTTATTTACAAACATTTCAATATTTGAAGGTAGTGTCAGCGCCCTTTGCCTATTACCACCCGCAAGTCAGCCATCAAGCCATGGTCAACTCCTCGTGGCTGGGACATGTGGAGAAGAATGACATTGGAATCTGGCTGGACGGACTTCTACTGCTCATCTTCGGGGGAATACCGTGGCAGGTTAGTAGGAAGACTATCTTTTAAATATTTAGTGAAGAGTCAATTAATTCATTGAATCGGAAGTTCCTACATCAGCCACAGAGGCACATGTGCGCTCAGTTTGGATCCAAAGATCTCGTTTGGTGCCTCAGACGCCATCAAACTTGAGTTGCCAAATGAATTAGAGCATCCTGTCTATGGTTTCTTCTTTGGCAAGTGTCTGCCCTTTGTCATGGTTCCAAGAGTCATTGATCTTACCTCATACACAGCTGTACAGTCATAGAGTAGATGATCTGCTATCTCCTCGGACTGCTCACATTTCCTACATGCAGTATCTCCATTATAGATCCTCAAGCGTTGCAGGTGTGGTTGAATGTTGGCCCGTGACCATTTGTGTGATCTGTCTTAGTTGCCTTCTGTGGTAAAAAACAATCTTATACAGCAAAAACAAAATAAATATGCACCACAGATTAATTTAAAAAATCCCACCTAAACCAATCACTATGTGTAGGTACCGTTATGAAACAAATTCATTAAAAAGTTATTATTAATACAAACATTACAATTTACAAAACCTAATGTATTTTTATAAACATTTTTCAGGGCTACTTCCAGAGAGTGCTAGCAATACGAACAACAAAAATGGCTCAACAAACAGCTTTCTGGTCAATGGTGGGATGTCTACTCATGGGTATACCAGCCTTACTGTTTGGAGTCATTGCCTTAGGAACTGGTAAATAAATATTGTAGCTTAAAAAGTATAACTATTTATTACTTTGTAGAAGATTTGTATTAGTATTTTCTTGAGAGAAAAAAACCAACTTAATCTATTCAGAACAGAGTAAGACAGCAGCTAATCTTCAGAAAACAATTTCAGTCATAAAATATACCTGTAAAGTAATACTTTAGACGGTGGCTGTTCATAAAAGTTTGGAACATTGTTTATAACCAGTTTTCTTCCAACTTTACAAAGGGTTCCCTACTACATTGAGATATTTCAAACAAAACCATGACTTGCGTTCTTTCTCAATTGGATAAGTATTTATTATTGGTGTAAAAGAATCTTGAAACTTGAAACCTTTTGATTCGCCCTATACTTTTAACCTGTTTTCCCCTCTTAAAAGCAGCATAAACAGACATTTTTCAAACAAGTACAAGATGTTTGATTTTTTGATGGGGGTGTATGTTATTTGGGAGTTGTAGTGAGCACTTTCTATTGTGTTTAAGCTTTAGTAAAATACATTACCATAGGATTCTGGGTTCTGTGTACTTGTATTGTTGTAAAACTATTGTATTTGCACTGTCAGTAACCAAAGTGAATTTCCAGATTGGACACACGTTGAAGGGTTCAACAGAAACATGACATTGAACGATGCCAATGTCATTTTGCCAAGAGTTTTGCGACACCTTACTCCACATGTGAGTAATAAATTGCATCATTTTACAATCTTATAAATTTTCTCCTTGGCAAAAACTTTCATATCTGATTGTTTGCAAAGAAAAAGTTATTGAATCACCCTTATTCCAAAAGATCTTCCTTGTTAATCTCTATATATTGCACTAATGTCTACAGTAATTTTTCAGTGGGTGTCATTCTTCGGGCTGGGCTCAGTTTCAGCCGCAGTCATGTCTTCAGCCGACTCAAGTATTCTTGCATCAGCGGCCATGTTTACTCGTAACATCTACAAATGGACATTCAGACCAACGGTAAGTAAATGTTGAGTCCTCATTATTTGCCAATGTTTCAATGAAAAATAATATACTAAAAAGTATAGTTTTTTAGTTTATTTATTTTTTATGCCTCACCTTCACATCCTAATCATAGGACGCTAGATTCTAGCCTGGAACTGTTTTACACATTAATAGACTAGTCCAAGAGAGTTGCGGCATTATCACAATAATATCCATTGACGGGATTCGGGATTTGAACCCGGGACTTCAGACTCCTTAGCTCTACCACTATAGATCAGCTCGATCCCCACTAAATAGTGTAGTAGAGATTGTATTGTTTGATTTTCATCTGACCCTGTCTGCAGGTGATTGAGAACGGTCATTAAGCGAACAATCTTATTCAGTTTAAGCTAAAAATCACACTTCTTGGTCTATTAAGTAAAAATCCAAACGTTAAGTAATTGATTGCCTGTCAAGGAATGTTTAGTTCGTAGTAGATATCTTGTAACGTTAGGGCTCAACGGAACATAGAAGAAAGATTCAAGCAGGGCAACACTGTATCAACATTCCATGGTTCACTAATAAAAATACAAGATAGTTTACTGAAAAAAACAAGATGAGTACACAGTTACTATTTATTATATGTTTAAATATCTTATACAGTACTGCATAATTTAACCTGTCTGACTGCGGAAGTACAGTAGTCAGGACTAAACTGTGACTGTTTATTTGTTGAAGGCGTCTGAGAAGGAGGTAATGTGGATTATGAGGCTCGCAACCATCGTAATATCCTACCTCTCCGCAGCGATCGCCATCTCTGTTGGCAGTATTTATTACTTGTCGTAAGTATTGTAATAGGAGGGTTCAAATAATGTGAAAATACAGCATTTAGCAATGCTGTGCAAGTAGGCTGGGAGTCTTCTAAAACAATAAATTGTTGTGCTGACCTATATAAAGCTAGGTTGGTGTACTTTTAGGGGGTCAGTATTGTATGTGGCTGTAGTGTGGTGTATTGGAGGATAGGGTCCCGTTTTTTTTTACATCCTAATAAATAAACCTAAACTGCATTTGATGCTAAAATCAAATCTTCTTGAGGGTCACTCATCACAAACACTTTTTCTACAAAATTCAAACTCACAACTCAACTTCTTTTTTCACAACTAAACATATGGCTTTGATCATTCACAAAAATACTCTTTGAGGTATTTCCGAAATTAAACTTACTTTCTTTTTATTCCAAAGATTACAAGAAATAGTTTTTCCAGAAGTGCTATATGCAAAATTCTAGCCTTTATCTCGTATGACTGAATATTATTGTTATTGTTAGTGTTATTTTCAATGTGTTTTGTTTGCCATTTAGTTATTTCCATCTTGTTCCATGACAGGTACCTGTGCTCAGACCTGGTGTATGTCATTCTGTTTCCCCAGTTACTACTCGTAGTTCACTGGAGTCGAGGAGTCACTACTTACGGCTGTCTCGCCTCTTACGCTGTCGGGCTGACTCTACGAGTCCTTGGTTTGTATACTTCTATACTTTGACACCCTTGAGGATCTTTATCTGGTCTATCTACGCCATTGACATAGAATTTAAACTATTTGAAAAATCAACAAATTTGAAATTTATATTTTGTCCTAAAAACATAACAGAGGTTTTTACAATACAATTCAAGAAGTTTAAATCGGTTTTATAATGTAATCAAACTGCTTTAAAAATAGCAAATTTTCTAGGGAAGACCCCTTGAACCCCCCTCTTTTTTTGTAGCCCTTTTTTGATTCCCTCTACTTGATAAGTTCGTAGAACCACCACTGTAAGTATGTACAGTGCATTTTGATATTTACCACAAATTTTTTTGTTGCAATTTGCAATCTACTTACTTAAAAGAGTAGAGCACACAAATAAAACTTACTCTAAAATAAGATAAACAATTATTCTATATCAACACCCTCAGCCATACACACTCTTAACTACTGAACTTTATGAGACAAAAACATAATTAGTTTTTTTTTCAGGTGGGGAGAAAGACATTGGTCTAGACCCTGTGATCAGTTATCCGTACTTTGACAGTGAGACAAACACACAAAGATTCCCGTTTAGAACGTTAGCAATGGTGTGTGCAATAGTTACCCATGTGGTTGTCAGTGCTGTAACTCGGTGGTTGTTTGAGTCCGGCACGCTATCAGCCGACCGGTGGGATATTTTAATGGCGTTTCCTGATTGCCACCTGACGAGGACTGAACATCGAGAGCAACGATACAAGGATCCAAACAAGGGACGGACGAACAAAGCGCTACACGACGCGATGGTAGGCAAACGTCTCAGCCAAGCCAGCGAGGGTCTACTTAGTGGCAACGATGACGACAGTTTGTTGATGAAAAGAGACCGAAGCGAACTGACGAACCAAGCTTCAGTGTCTTCGGAAACTCCTTCTGTCAGTAAATTTTAATTGACAACAGTAGAACCTCGCGTTTCAAATCTAAGAACTGTGTTTGTATTTTAATTTGAAGAAGGAGCTTTAAGCCAGTTTTTTATTGAGGATATTATCCTTGTTTGAAAAAAAGTCTTACAAAATCCAATACAAAAACAGCTAAATCTGATCTTAATACACTTACTACCAGTGGTGATAGACCGCTGGGAGGGAACAATTTAGTTTATAGAATTTTACAAAATTTGTATAACCAATATAATCATTTAAAAATTAATCAAAATAGCAATGAAGAATAAATCCACCCAATCATTGAAACGTGAACAAACACGCTATACCATTTTCAGCTAAGCCTCCATGGAACCAAACCGACAGGTCCGCGGTTTGCATGTGATGCCCAATGGGCCCGAGAAATAGTTACACCCCTCTCCACCAACTTGTGGGCGAATTTTTCTCTTTCTTGCTCCCCCGACAAACCTAAAAACTCTTACGCCCCTGGGCCCGGGCCCACCATGCTCATTTATTAAAGCGGCTCTGCAAATCTATACAATTTTTCTCAAAAGCTTAAAATAGAAACTTTAAAAAAAAAATCAGGTGACAAAGCCTTAGCTCAAAAAGTGGAAACTTGAATATGACTTAAAACATTCATGAATAAGTTAGGTACCTACATTTTTTGTTGGTTACCTTGTGTTCTCAAAGTCCAAATATTAAATAATGAATGTGAATTTTTCCACAGGTGCGGCAGTGTTACACTAAATTACAAAAATACATTTAAATATTTTCAAGTGTTTGTTAATCACTGTTGTTTCTTCACATCACCAAAAGATTAGCGAAGCGGTGTTGCGGCGGACACGAGTTGAGTGTTCTGTTGCGGGAGGTTCAATTAAAAACTTTGAAAACTTTCATTCGCCAAAAATAGTTCACTGGGATCGCATAAATGGTTGAATTATAAAAGCTAAATGAATAAAATTTTGATTTTAGAAACATGTAAAGAAACTTTGAATTTTGGAATATTGTCTGCAAATATCAAGTCTTTAAACGGGATGAAACAAAGTTACCATTTTAGTGGTTTTTATCAAAATATAAACTTGAGAGGTTCTACTGTAAATATTGAGCAGCTTAGAGTAACATATCCACGATGCAGGTGAATCGTAATCTTTGTTAGCAGTTTTGTACAGTGCAACAAATGTTTTATACAATAAATTATTAGAACTGTTTGTTCTTACTTGTTACTGTGACTTTATTAGTATTACTACCCTCAGGAGTGCTGAAATTTATTTACTTATGGTGTTAAATGATAGATTCGATTAAACTTTTATGATGCCAACCAGGGTAGGTAACCAGGCGGCTCCAGACATGTGCCATTCGCCAAGCAAGAAATGTTTGACGTTCGGCCATCTAGTTGTCTTGCTATTCGCCGATTAACGAGTACCTAGACTTCTACACACATGTGTTGTTTTCTGAGCAACTGTTCGATTCGGGAATATCAAATATTTGTTCACTTCGGCGAGTTATTGCTCGGTGATTGGTGAATGGCGCATGTCTGGAGCTGCCTTTAAGGTGAAGAACAGTAATAAGTGTTGAATGAATAAGCTGGCAGCTTTGGTACTAGCCAAGATCAGCTGGTTCATATAGACAAGACCATTTATTACAAGCTAAGTGATCAAATACAGCTGAGTTTAGTTCCCAAAATGTTCTCAGGATCAAACCGGTTATCTGCTGATTAATAGCCGAGCAAATCATATTTTTTTTTTTTTTTTCAGAGGCCAAAAACACAATTCGTTCAAATTTTTATATATCTATATAAATAAAATTAGAGTTTTGTCTGTACATTGCTCAGAATCATAAACTTTTAGGTTATTATTACGTTTTATACATTAGAGAAACCGAAACAAGTCTCATCTAAATTTCTGTCTGTCTTCATGTCTGTTACGACCCAAGAGCCATTTTACGCGGCCTACTCCTAAAAAACGAGAGTACCTATCAAGTTCCAAATCATTTTAATGTATTCACTGGATTGGTGAAATTGTCTTTAGCCATTAAAATATGGCGTCACCACTTTGTAAATAAAATAACGGATGTTTAAAAACCCAATTTTGTGCGATTTTTTGTAAAGTTTTCTCCCAATGTTTAGCACATATTCTTCTATGAAATAACGAACAGCTGTTCAAATCAAGATTATTTCTTCTAGCTGTCACTGATATGTTTACATTGAATGTTGTTTACAAATACCGCAACCATTTCCGATCACGTTTTGAAAGCAAATCCAAACCAATTAAGATAAAAAAACGTTTTTCCTTACATAACGGATTTAATTAATCGCAAGTGCAATAATATGTAGGGTAACAGTAAATGAAAATAGAGATTCTTTGTGTATAAAATTGTTCTTGAGTTTTGATAACCGGGAAATAGACCTTGAATCAGTGTTGTATATTGCTGGGAAACTTACATTTTTTAAATGAGCGTTTTCAGTCGAGACTCGGCACACGACCGACGCGCGTCTACTTGTCTATAGTAAAAATTAAAGTAGGCCTACTGTGTATTTATGTTTTATTCGTCATGTGTATAAGTGTACAGTTCGTGTATGTGTTTCAAAAACTCCAAGACGCACCTAATGGGGAAGCTCAAGACCTTTAGGACTGATGATGGCGATTTAATTTCGCCGAAATGCATCTCCTGTAATAGGATACATTAGGATCGACCAGCGGACACAGGTAATTTAGCCTTTTATTGATTGTCATACCGATCCGGAACAACAACAAACGACATAAAATGAAGTTATGTACCTATAATAAATAGTTTGGCCAGCATATCTGAAAATATGCAAACCAACTGCTGTTCTTTATATAAGAAGGTTTCAACTGATTACTATAAGATCCCCGTGCGTAGAACGGGTACACAGCTAGTATATATATATATATATATATATTATATATTTAAGTAAATAAGTACAACTATATATATATGTGTCCATCCACACGATAACTTGAGTAATTTTTGTCCGATTTTGATAACATTTGGTTTGAAGGTGTAAGGCGGGATAAACTTGACTGAGTTCGCGAACCAGCATGATCGGACTATGGGAACGGGGGTTTATGGGGGGTTTTATGGGGTAAAAATAGGTTTTTCCCATTTTTGACCCTTAAAACACAAAATTTCACAATTACTTTTTAAACCATTTTGTAGAGCTTAAAAAAACAAATAATTTAGTATATTGAAGCGTTATTATGCGGCTAATTGTTACGGAGAAAATTCAAAAAAATTGTAATTTTAAAATTCCCATGTTATTCTTATGGAGAATAAGTCAACTGTTGTAGTTTGCTTGTTTATGAACATATTTTGATCGATTTTGGAAAATACTTTTATTTCTTACTAAACTATTATCATTTTATAAAAAAAATCTTTTTCACCCTCCCTGTTGAAGCAAACCTAAGTACTCGTTAAACTAATTCTATTTAAACAGGAAATAAATGTGCTATTTTTATGGAGGCATTTTAGTGTAAATCTAATCAGGTTAATGGAAATTCGCTTAGTCTGCAGGTTTGCTGCGGCGGGGGTATTTTAAGTGATAGGGCCTACAGTACAAGCCTCCAGGTAAAAAATAAACCCCAGGGTTTTCTATCATTCATCCGATATCACCTCATTCATTCCAGGTGGCTTTCCCCTAGCATACAATGTTTTGCCCCAACCCAAATTCTGTTATTCTTCTTTCAGACCTTGAATTGCATACCTTGGTGAAATAGTGGATATCTTGGTAACTTAATTGTTTATTGTCAGCTACTATTTTCAACCGTGAAAGGTTATTTCCATGAAATTTGTTATTGTTCAAAAATGCAGTATTCTGTAAGTTCTTAAGTTTTTGCTTATGGATATTAGACACATTTTGACTTTCTCACCCTATACCATAGTATATAGAGAAAGTAGTCTATTGGTTTTGTCAAAATTTTTGATTTTGAGTTTTGCTTGGAAATAACTATATGTTTTGGGCCTTCCTGGACACAAAAAGTGGATTTCGAATTGATGTCTGTGTGTGTGTGTGTGTTCTAATCTACAGACTACAACTGTGGTCCAAATTTATAGAATCTCGTATGTGGGTACTTATGGAATCTCCAGACAAATTTTCGAATTGGTTTTTTGATTGGCATTTTCCGAAAAAGAAAATTCTTACAAAAACTGCTCTAACGATTTTGATTAAAATTTAGTATGTTACATATGGTAATTGAATTAATTAATTTTAACTTTATCTTTGAGGCTTGTCAGTGCAAAGCTTACAAAAAAATCTGTTTGGTAACTCTCTAGCCACACCTTAACAATATAAGACTACAAGAATCAATATAACAATGGGATAATCATGAATCAATTTCTAAAATAAATTCTTTTTATTAAATTATATATTGGTAAACAAGAACTTTGGTATGATTACTACAGATCTATTGGGAGAAAAATACAAATCACAGCATTGGCTTTCTTAGTAAACAACTTGCAAAATATCACAGTTACATATCGCGTATACAATGTAATTAAAGTCTCCAAAAATGTTGGGCAATAATCAATTATTATAAAGAAAAAGAAATCAAGACACATTATGTGTGTTTTTTTTTACAACAGTTCTGTTTAAAATATTTAAAAAGTGTACAAGGCACAAATTTCTTGTCATGGTAATAATCGCTGATAAACTTTATAAAAATGATATGTAGCCTTTTTTGATTTTAGCTATGGTAAAAAAATAAAGCTTGAAAACACTAACTGGAAAATATTGGCTGTTATATTGGAAAATTTAATCACATCTCAACCTTGAGATTCTGCTTGCTCGAGATGCAACTCTTTTGCATTCTCTTCAGAATATTTACACTTATTTTGAAAAGTCATTTCTCTCACAGCATTATTATACTCTTCAATTGTATAATTAGCGACTCCCAAATCAATAAACTTACGGACAGTTTTAGCCTCACACCTGCCTAGAAACCACCAATCCAGCCAATAATTGGTAACGTTTGGTTGTCGAGTTACGATCGACTTTGGCATTTCACAAGAGTAATGTTTATTAGACGCAATTGATATTTCTGGATTCTTCTCGTGGGCTTTTTTGCAGATGAAACATTCAAACTTGTTCAAAAAATTATCCTCGTAAGAATCGTCTTGGCGCTGGTTTAGATCCTGGATCAGTCGAGAGTTAGTCAACGAGGCCTGGAGTTTGTGACTGAGGTAGCTGTTGTACTCATCATCATGGCTGTTCAGGTAAACCAAGTATTCCGCCAAGTGTTTTGGAGATTCAAAGTCCAGAGCTAAGATCGCTGAACGGTTGTTTGGCAGCCAATCCTACAAAAAATGAAAATAGGCATACCTCGTTCACAAAATTTAGGCAGATCTAGGGTAAGCAATCCCATCCCATCCCTCCACCTTACCCTACATTTAAACAACAGCTGGAGACCGTAAAACAGCTGTAAACATACATTAAGGAAAATGTGGTGGGGAAACCCAGAAATACTTCCCCTCAAACCCCAAAAATGTTGTGAAAGGACTATAATGTAAACCAAGTGTTTAAAATTTTTGTTCAAACATTTTACAAATTCAAGAAACCGTACATAGTTTAGATTACCAACATAAATATTTTTTGTAACCTTCCCCCGTTTTGAATATTGATGTAAACGTAAAGTCATTAGTTTGGATTTCAGCATGATAAAGCTTACATAGCAGGCAGAAAGTAAGCTTTAATAAAGTAATGGCAAGTGCTATTAACACTTCAATTTCGTAGCAAATTTTAGGTATTAATGGAAAATGAAAATGCCTTTTTGGACAGACAGTTTACTAAACAATCACCTATATTTTATCTGTTTGCGAGAGTATTAAGAGGGAGAATTGTATGATTTCCTTCTGAGAATCCTGTACATTATGACATCAGAGTACAGCAGGGAGTCGATTATCTGAAACAAAATTGTGCTGTGGGTGTTTGGATAACTGATTTTTTGATTGATCGGGCATTGATAGAAACACGAGATATAATATTTTAACTTAATACAAGGACTATTTAGAAAGTAAGGAATGTTTAATTCTAAAGCCGCTAGGGGCGCACTGATCTCGTAAATTTTAGAGCGTGCACACATGGCAACTCAGTCGGTGTCCAGCCGTGACAACGGGAACATCTTCGCGCTTCCCGTTTTTTCGAATTTTGACTTAAGATGTGCGCTACGTTTGAAAATCCCGCCAGTTGTGGGTGCAGTCAGTGATATGGTTTTTTTTTGGCAAAAAACTTAAAACCGATATAGACCTTTATTGCCAAGTTTGTGAAGTTTACGGAAACAACTTAATGAAGTAAAGTTCTGTGCAAAAATGGTGCATTCAGCTTAAAAATGGCCGAACTGACAACCATGAGTTATGACGAAACAAAGGGCGAACGCCCGAGCATTGTGACTGATTTAAATGGTCGCTTAAGTTGATGAAAAGGTTCGCGAAAACCGCCAATTTTCCAGCCGAAAACGGAGATTTCGCCATGTTTCCCTCAAACGCCGACTGCTGACTGAGTTGCCGAATGTGCACGCACCAAAATGTACGAGATCAGCACGCCCTTAGCGGCGTCAGAATGAAATATTCCTTACTTGCTGAATAGCCCTCGCATTTGATAACATTTAGGGTTGTCTTTCCATGGATTTATACTGGTTTTTATTATTTTCCGCGATTGTAGCAACATTCATAAGTACATTTTGAGGTCCCGGCACAACCGGTGCGTCTTCCACGATCATACCATTATTCGTCAGCATTACTTGAGGTTTTTGGCAATATCGGTCAGTTGTCTCTCGCTATTGAGGAATACCTGTGTCTAGCACTCATAAAACTAGTGAATAGAACACAATTTGGATTTTTTTTCTTTCTATCTTCCTTCAGTAAACCAACTTTGTAATAGACCAATAGACCCCATATTTTTCAACATGGAAGATTGATGATTCTCTACCAAAGAGTAAAATATTAGGTAAATTTTTCCTTGGACATCATTCAAATTCCATTCCCAAAGACCACTAAAGTTGTACTCACTGATACAGTAGGTGAGCCGATGTAGATGGGGACAGCTCCTGATATGAGAGGTCGCCAAAGCTTCTCCGTGATATAGTCATCGCACACTCCGTTCTCAAATGCCACTGCAAACTTGTACTTGCCGACTATATCTAGTAAGTCATCTGACATCATAGTTCTTAGGGTAAACGGGGACTGTAAACTAATAAAAACAATTGTTAACATTAGTTTCGTGAAATTTAATATTTTACATTATAGTTAGGCCTATTAATGATGATGAGAGGATAAAGATACCACTTTTGTTTACACCAGTGTTAAGTGAAATATTTTTTGTATTCTGGGTTTTGAACCAAAAAAGCGTTTGATTTATTTATATTGTTAAGGAGTGGTACAGACCCTCATTTTTACAATCGCTGATTCATAAACCAGTGGATATATTACAAACTATTAGGAGCTAAGAACCCTACTAATAAACGTTCACTTATGATAATTTCAAATTCCATATATGTGTCTTAATACATTTATAATTAATTAAGATAGGCCTAAGTTGTTCAGTAAGTTCATAATAACAGTCCTGATATACCTGATTCATAATAATCAGTCTTAATAACAAGTTCAGTAAACACTCTGCTTATATAAAAAGTGATTAAAAAAACAAAAATTATGGTTGACTCAAATAAATATTTAGATGAAGCTAATAATAAAAGTAATGTAAACTTATGACTAGGGAATTAGAATATGGACAGGGTGTGTAAAAAGTTTAATAACCTCAGCCTACAGACTATCGTTTGTCTCTTTTAAAATGAATGAATTCTATAGAATTATTTTCAACAAACTAATTATGTTATTTATGTTAACAATGTTTAACGATTCTGTTTTGATAAAAAAAAATATTGGCTTCAGCTGTTCCATAAGGATGACAAATCTACTAAGGGAGTATGTTTTATATATGCTAAAACCCATAACAAAGAAAACTAATTTAAAAAAATTTCAGTTCTTTTGAGTTCTCATTTAACAGACAAAAAAAAGATGGCCTATGGACTTTTACATTTTGCAATCGTACTTCCAACTGTAATGTCAACTCACTGCGGAGGAAGGTTCCTATTGTGCAGACATCGGCCGTATGAGTCAACTCGGATGTACTTGGAGAGCTCGGCCACATAAGAATCTCTATCTAGAGGTGTTGAACAGTCCGTCTGTATATACACTACAGGGGCGAGCTGCCACGACTGGTTCTTCTGGTAACCATTCTTGGCTTCCACTGTCTCAAAGTGTTTCATATCTGAAATAAAAATTATGCAAACTATTCAATTGCTGAACTTATTACCTGCAGTCAAACTAATTAAATAGGCTTATTTATTTAACAAATTTACCAGGTAGAATCTCTGACTTTTAGATGTTTGGGTAAACACAGAGAAGTATGGTACAGAGGAAACATTCAATGGTATGGTTAAGTTGTGTCTAGCACTAGTCGCTAGTATCTATAGAAAAGTCCAACACTGTCCCCCTCACCCTTATGTACTACAACACACACGGTGGAGGAAGACTCTGTGCTCGCCACTCGCTCTACCTTGCTCGTCACGAGTATATTTCCGGCAGAACATACTAGAGCTGAAAGCGCAAGGTCGTCCATACGACAGTTTTCTCTGTACCTTACTTCACTGTGGGGTTAATAACACATCAATGTGGAAAGTATGGATGTCAGGCTGGCTCAACGTAGCCAACTAAAACAGTCACCACTGGATTCTCTGCTAAAGAGATTGTCATAGGCAGTGTTTAAAAAATCCGAGTCAACCTTTTGTGCATCAGATGTGAGATACATCCCACACGGTCCATCTTTAGTTTTGTACAATAGTTCTGCAGCGCAGATAGTTCTCAATGGCCACACTAGATAAGCTGGAATGTGGGATATATTCCTTAACCCTCTATCTGGCGCTGGTCGATTTTCGACCACTAAAACGTGAGTTCTCAGTGGCGCTGGTCGATTATAGACCAAGATGTCATGGGTCGGGTTTTTCTATTATTAAAATATGAACACAGTTTTAAAACGCAATAAATCTTATACCATTAGAAAGATGAGATTCTGAGGATTTATTTTCATGCATAAAACATTATTGAGTGAGTATTATGCAGCGAGAAACGGTAGTTTGAAAAACTATAGAGTTCAAAATAGATTTTGGCGGTGGAAAGTTTTGGTCACCTGACTACAAAAACAGCTGTTTTTGGTGATTGTCAATCAAATTGTATACAATATTAGTACATATTCTGAAACTACAATAAATTCCCTACAATTCCCTGTGAATCTATAAGGTTGATTGTAAAAATTTTATTTGTTTTTAAAAATGTCATAAATATTATGTTTTTGTAAAAAAATGTTCAAATTTTTACATTCCGACGTAAATTTCTCCGACATTTTAGAATTCAACTAAATATCTATATATATAATACGTGAAGCCGTTTTTTGTTAACGCAACTCCTCCCTTATTTGTGGACCAATTTCAACGTTTAAGGTGTCAAAAGATTCGTCTCAATATGAAGTTTTGCAATAAGGTTTTAGAATTTTAAAATTCCTACTCTGAAGGGCGTGAGACCCTCTCAAAGGTCGGGTTTTCCCCATAAGAAATACATAGGAGAAATTTAAAAACCAAAAACAGCTGTTTATAAAAAGAAACTCATTAGCTTTTTGGGAGTAAATATTAATGTTCGTAATATTCAGTAGGTTAAGACCAAGTTAAACCGGTAATCAGTTTTGTAGGAAGAACAGAAAATGCCTCAAGTTCAAAGAAGAAATATTGAAAACGTGAGTAGGAGACAATTAATAATAAGATATCTTATGCGTATGAGGAGAGTAGAAATAGAGAGGCCTGGTCTAACAGACACCCATCCAGATACACATTCACTTGGTGATATGTATACCTAATATTTGCCAGTTCTGCTATACATCGATGGTTCTGCTCAGCAACTCACTTTGGAAGTGAAAAAATGTACGAAGCACATAGTGTTGTCACGGTGGTAAAATAAACTTGCCCAATGTCAGATCAAATGAATGCATGCAAGAAATGTTTACTTCTGACAATGACAAAACAAGATATTTCAAAACATTTAGTATAAACTATATTTAATGCCTTGACTATAGTTCAAGTAGTAAGATTATACCAAATCTTGGCGGACCTTATATTTTTATTGTAAACTTTTGTATTACTCGCTCTACTTCAATTGAGAAAAAACACAAATGGGTTGTTTACTTCTAGGTTATGTTTCCAGTTCCTCGGGAAAACTTATACAAGGTCTACTAACTGAATTTACCAACACAATCCAGACATTTCAAGTCAAAAATAAGAAGTTTGCTACAACAACTCATTTGCTATTGAAAGTTTTAGAGGCAATATTAGACCAAACATAAGTGAAGGAATTAGTGTTTATGTATTCAACGATCAAGTTGTTACGGTCAAGTTTATTTTTATGATTTAGGAAAGGCAAATAATATACGCTGTTCAAAAAGAGAATATGAAAATTGCTATCCAAATCATATAGCTACAAGAGTTATCCAACCTATTTCGACAAATGAATCCATACTTTCCAAACGTTTAGGTATTTAGAGAAACTCCACTGAAAAACGTGAGACTGACAGACAACACGTTGAAATATGTTAACCAACTTTCAATGGTGTTGCTGCTTTAGCTAATTCAAAGCAGATTATGACAGTTAAGTTGGCAAAAAATGGACCACATGAAATAGTTGATATCACCTAACTTTTCAGGGTTCTCCACGAAGAAAATTTGTTTGATTAGGGGGATGTCTCAAAAGAAATAAAATGACCCAAATTAAATTACTAAACACTGGTTATCAGTAGGCCTAAGGCAACAGTTTTCTTTAATTCTCAATGCTGGAAAAACTTTGTTGCAACATGTTAACTCGAATTGAAGCAGATTGTTTAGCATTCATTAGAAGTTATCAATTAAAACTGAGAGCAGAAATAATGTAGGTGAACCTTGACGACGCAAACAGAGATATTTAAAATTAGTTTCTAACAAGTGTTTAAACAACTCTAAGTTGTAGCTACAATTACTCGAATTTAAGCATAAAGTTTTCCTCGGCGTTATGTTTCATACTATGCGGCTCATTGAGCCGCACGGGTTCTCTAGTAACTATATATTTTCAGAAAGATCTTTTTATTACCTACTAGCTGTAACCCGCGGGCTTTGCCCCGTTTAACTTCTTAATTTTCAAGATTATCTCGTTCGCATGGCTCAATCACGTCCTGGTTGAAGTTTGTTTGCTACGCTCACTCACCTTTAGGTTGGAGCTCGTTCGCTACGGTCACTCACCTTTAGGTTGGAGCTCGTTCGCTACGCTCACTCACCTTTAGGTTGGAGCTCGTTCGCTGCGCTCACTTGCCTTCAGGTTAGCTCGTTCGCTACGCTAACTCGCCTCCAGGTTGAAGTTCGTTCGCTACGCTCACTCACCTTTTGGTTGCAAATTAGCTGTTGTCATAAATGTAAAAGAAATAATAGTGCTGCACCCTGTTGGTAATCCTTGTAACTTTAATGCTATTGAACATCATAGAACAGAACCAACTTGTTTAATTGAAACAGCTGTTAAGATTCAATAATTCCATTTCTCATAAGGTTAACATGGGAAACTCCAGAGCCACTGGGGCGGAGCCCGAAAGGATTTTTGAAATAAGAATATGCCTATATGTTAATCGGGAATGTGAGCTATCATCATGCCAAATTTCAGCCCAATCCGACCAGTATTTTTCGAGTTTACTTTTCCCATACACACATACACACATACAGCAACCACCTCTTTTTTATAATACTATAGATAGACTAGCTGACCCGGCGAACTTCGTATCGCCTAAGTTATAGGTTTCCCCTAAGACAGACCGATGGAAAGAAAGTACCGTTACGTTTAATTTTCAAGATGATCTCGTTCGCATCGCTCAATCACGTCCTGGTTGAAGTTCGTTCGCTACGCTCACTCACCTTTGGGTTGGAGCTCGTTCGCTGCGCTCACTTGCCTTCAGGTTAGCTCGTTCGCTACGCTAACTCGCCTCCAGGTTGAAGTTCGTTCGCTACGCTCACTCACCTTTGGGTTGGAGCTCGTTCGCTACGCTCACTCACCTTTAGGTTGGAGCTCGTTCGCTGCGCTCACTTGCCTTCAGGTTAGCTCGTTCGCTACGCTAACTCGCCTCCAGGTTGAATCAAGATGATATCGTTCGCATCGCTCAATCACGTCCTGGTTGAAGTTCGTTCGCTACGCTCACTCACCTTTGGGTTGGAGCTCGTTCGCTACGCTCACTCACCTTTAGGTTGGAGCTCGTTCGCTGCGCTCACTTGCCTTCAGGTTAGCTCGTTCGCTACGCTAACTCGCCTCCAGGTTGAAGTTCGTTCGCTACGCTCACTCACCTTTTGGTTGCAAATAAGATGTTGTCATAAATGTAAAAGAAAAAATAGTGCTGCACCCTGTTGGTAATCCTTGTAACTTTAATGCTATTGAACATCATAGAACAGAACCAACTTGTTTAATTGAAACAGCTGTTAAGATTCATTAATTCCATTTCTCATAAGGTTAACATGGGAAACTCCAGAGCCACTGGGGCGGAGCCCTTTTAAGAATTTCGAAACGGGAAATAGTTTACTTTCTATTCGCATACCTACAGAATTTACACACCAAATTTCATAACGATCGGTGAAGTCGTTCCGGAGGAGTTTGCAGACAAACACTGTGACACGAGAATTTTATATATTAGATAGATAGATTGTACAGTATCATTTCATTTTTTGTTGATGCATTCTATTATTTCCTACGTGACAAAAAGAAATTTGGTAGTTTTTCAATAAAGAAAATATGTATGAAGAATTTATTTTTTATAATTTTATTTTTACGAGTATTTAAAAAACATTGATATTTCTACGCAGGGAATCATATGTCACACAAACTTTACATTTAGATAAAATGTGTAAAAAAATTATTTTGTGGTTTTCTTGTGGGTTGCTTTTGAAATTTCTACTTTGCATAATCCAAAAATTTGCAAACCTTTTGCTACTACGCCTAAACGCATTGCTAGGAAAAGAATATTTTTATATTATTATATTCTAAATTCATCACTGAAATAGAAAATATATATATGTGTGTACTTATATTCACAAATAAATGTTCTGTGCCAAAATATATGATACCACTACAAAAGCGCCAAAATATACCCGCCACTGGTGAATAAAATGACCGCCAGATCTAGGGTTAACACATTCAACATATCAGCCCATTTCACTGTTAAAGGGATTCTTGATAACAAGCGCAACCCAGCAAAAGGAATGGTTGTGACTTTTAATACTTTCAAAAAATAGGCCTAGATATAAAAACTGATGATCAAATAAAACAGCAAATTTATGTTTAGGCCTAAAGAAAAAACTAGATAATTAGGACTTGGTTTTGTAGATAATCCCAATAATGTCTAAGAAATTAACCCTACAAAGACAATCTAAGGGAAGGTAAGTGCAGAAAAGTAGTTGTTGATACTGTAGTTTTGTAATAAAACTTTTGTCGATGAAACACTTACATCACTGTTCACAAGGTAAGGAAAGTTTTCTCTTGACAATGTTGAAAAACGTAAAGTCAAAGCAGAATATTTTTTACACCTGACATTTGCTAATCTGTTAATCCCTGATCAAATTAAACGTATGTCTACTCAAGCCTAAGCTGTTTACATAACCTCTTTGAGCTTGGTTCTGATTTTAAATTAATCCTTTACCTGTGAGAGACTTGATGCTACTGAGAAACTGAGTGGTGGTGGGCACGTCACTGTAGCGGCTGAACGTTGACGTGTAGTTGAACAACGATATGACGGAAGCATGACTGAGCGGGATGTTGTTACGAGGAGACTCCTCATGCAGAAGAGCCCAGAACACTGACGGTCCGGCTCTGGGCAGCGGTAGGTCAGTCCAGTTGATACTGGTGCCGTAGAATAAAAATCCCTGGAATAAACGTAGATTTTAAAGGACGTTTATTGTTTGTACAATTACCTACCTAGATATAAAAAGTGTAATACACGAAAAACTCTTGGGTTTTAATAATTTCTATTTGGTTTTCCTTCTAGTATTTTTTTTACCATGATGGTAGTCTGATTGGGACTTGGTAACCATACGTTAATGATAAGCTTTAAAAAACCAACAACTGTGAGATTTTCCTTTTTATCAATTGTGTGGAAAACTAGGACATTGACTTTTTTTTATTAAATAGGCCCTAAAACAGACCTATCAAAGATCATACAGGAATTTCACCACTGTAAGCATTAAAATTTGATTACCAGTATACTCAAACAGTAATTTTAAAATATATTTACTTTAACTTAATTTTTCTCATTGTACAAGTTTTCCCAAGTAGTACATCTTCAGCCAACAACAATGTTTTGATCACTATTGTCACAGAAAACATACTACTATAACCCAGAATGCCAACCGCATGGTAAAAAGCATTAAGTACTCGGAGAGAGCTTAGCCTGTCAATTCCTAGGCAGCGCCACCAGCGTTGCTATGCATTGAATCGACAGGCAAAGCTCTCTCCAAGTACTTAACGCTTTTTACCATGCGGTTGGCATTCTGGGTTATAGTAGTATGTTTTCTGAGCAATTGTATCTAATTACAAAATGTCTAAATATAGGTTTTTCCCTTGCATTTTTTCTCACCTTTAAATTAGGGTGGTTACGAAACCGTGGAACATTGGTGAAGAAGCAGGACAATTGGCCACATTGGCTCCATCTTCCGGAATGTTGTATACCTCCGAGAGGGGCCCACCAAACAACTACTGGAACTGCTACTTCTACACCAACATTAGACTACGAGTGAACAACTGTTTTGACACTACATGACACTACTTTCACCTGAGATTACTACAAGTGTACAGAGAAGCAACAGACATAGGAGACATATTGTGGTTTGGTTACTATTTTGAAACTGTTCTTGTGCTTTACTTGCTAATTACTTTGGATTTATTTAGGGTAGCATGCATACTTGAATGGGAAATAGTCCAAACTGGCACAAGAAGCACAACAACAAAATAAACACAAAACAAAACATTAGAATACTTCACAGGAAAAGGGAGTTTTCAGGTCTCTTTTCCTTGGTTCAAAATGCTGTCAGTAACAGTGAAATATTCTAGTATTTTGTGTATAGGCCTACAGGGTATTCATTCAGGGGCAGATAGAAGGTAATCAATCTATACAAAAAAGTTCATATAAACATAGGTTGAAAAGATTTTGTTCAGCCGCTAGCTGCCATTTTGTTTTTTTACAAAACAATTAATACCGGGTACCTCAAGAATTATCCAAGCTACGGATACCAAACTTGGCACTCTTGAACTTTTTTTTTTAGATTGATAAGTACTATCAGACCCTGAAGTTTGTTATACCCCTTAATGAACACCCTAAGGCTTGTATAGTGTAAACTTTTGTCTTTCTTGTGCCTGTTTGGACTCATTCCCATTCCCATTCAGGTAAGCCTACTACTACAAAACTACTCCTATCAAATACTAATACTAATACTATCAAAAATGCCAAAATCCTAGGCTCTTGTGCTCTATGTTACATCCTTGCTAACTACTTAATTATTTGTCTCTCAGATATCCGTCAATTCTCTGTGGCGGAGAAAATACTAAAGTAGGAAGGACAAGGATACCCGGAAGTTAGGATGGTGTCGGTAGCGTTCCGAGGGACCAACGAAGCAAGTGAGTGAGCCGCAGTTTCTGTACACATCGGTCACCCACGTTTGATGGCACATCTTTGTAGGGTGCCACCAAACCATCACAGGGTAGGGAATATCTGGAGGAAGGAACAAGGGTGAGGATAATTAGGTTGTTGTTTTTGTTACAAGATTACTGCAGAGTCTTTGAATTGCTAAAACCAATTAGTTAAGTCCCAGGGATTATTCATTGATAAATCATGCACTCTGGATTCAAACAATGTGTCAAGCTGTGAAGACTTCTCCTTCGCATTAGGCCCTATCAGAAAAGTTTTTTGATGTAATTTATCTGTAAGTGTCAACTATTTCTACTAGGATCTTTATCCTGTTCTTGAGAAACTAGTTTGAAGATATGATGAAGTTTGATTAGGTTTAAAATGCTTATGAATTCACTTATATATAAAATGTCAATTAAAATGTCGTTACCTTCATACAACTGTATAATATCTTCGGATGTGTTTAACTCCAATGATGGGAACAGCCAGGATTCTTCATCGTTCAAGAAAACCTACAAATTGAGAACTACGGTCAATGATTTATGCTTTGGGAAGATTGTCCCAAAGCATGTTCATATTTCCAAATTTGTCTTAGAGTCTACAGGGGATATGCCTAGTAACATTTAGGTTAAACAGGACAGTTGAATATAGATTATGCAGGGTAAGAATAATAGTTAATATAAATTATAATAAACCTAGGATATGTACTGCTTTTAATTTTTACTTTTAGTGCCAAACAAAGCAAATCTTTGGATTGTAGTAAACTTTTGTTTAAGAAACAAGTGTTACACTTTTGTGTAAACAAATATTGTGTATTCTCATACCTCGAGAGCAATCTGCGAGATGACCAGTACAACAGTTGCGGCAGCAACCAACTTACACAACAGAGACACACGCATCAGGCTGATACAACAGAACTGTGTAGTCTATCATCTGGTGCAGAGATAAACAGATAAATACATCCTGCTGACTCATCTGCAACTAAACATGTGGCTGTTAAGTTACTTAATTCAAAACATAGAATGTAGGCCTAAATAAGGAAAACACTATCACTATCAGTAAAATCATTATGAGATGGGGAACAATTTTACTTACTCTCACAGGTGATCGGTAGCTATTGTACAAATTTTAACATGGTAAATGGTTGATTTGGGGATAAAATAAAGTTGGGTGGTTTTTATATTCATTAATGGGGGAATGGGGAGATGGGGACGCCACCTAGATGTGCATTTCAACCCAAATATGAGTGAAGGAGTGGGATAATATTTATAGCTTTGTTACTGACTAAGATTATCTGTTTCGTTATCCAGGATACTATAAAGCCCAATGATCAGGGACAGCTGGGTCCAATTTCTAACCATCAAAAAGCTACTGACTTTTCTCAGGATTGAACTGGCGACCTTTTGATTACTAGGTGAGCACTACATCCACTCAGCTATCCAGCTATCACTAACTTGTAACGGTAAATTGACGAGGGGTGGTATTAGCAAGATACAGATCAATTAGCATTAAAAGGTTTAAACACAAAAATTAATGCATGTTGGACAAAAAAATACCTTGCTATTGCCCGGTAAAATGTGTCCTCCATGTTGAATTAAATTGGGAAAAATACAACTTGGTATCGTTTGGGAACACAAAATACTACAAAAGTAGAACCTAGGTTAGAGAGCTAAATTAAGTTTTGTAAGTAAAGGATTGTTTTTAGAAATTAATATGGGTTAAAATTTTTAACAAGCAAGAACTTAGCAAATCAGACTTTGTCAACACCGGAGATTTGTTAGCCTACAGTATCCATACGGTACTGAGTTTTGAAGTTTCAAGTCTCGTCCACATCAGCAAAGAGTTTGCAAACTGTGTGCAGATTTGTTTATGATACAAGTTTGTGAACTGTTTTGCGTCCACACCAGAGTTTGACCTTTAGTCTACATACAGTAGACAGTGATTCTAATGACGAGTAGGGCTAAGGAGTCGTAATTCTGGCTTGTGTGTGTTAAATATATTTCCTCATGTATCTACGGTATTCTACAAAGGAAGATGGTGGACTTGACGAGTGAGTCAAGAAGGTCCATACTAAGTTAGGCTACTTCACTCATAAGACCTAAGTTATAGCCTACAGATTTTGAAGTATTGCTTAACAGTGTGGGGAATACGAATTAGGCTAGTAGCTAGATTAGGCCTGATTACAGAGCTTAAATTTTAACTAGACCCAAGTTCTTAGCAATAGACGATTCCTACAGAGATCCAGGCATTTAGGAGATATTATGTCTTTCTGGACAGTGTCCAGCAGACACATTCCTTAAAGCAGTGCCTTAGCGGTACAGTAATCTTATAATTTTTTTGGAGCTCAGCGATTTTCTGAGTATTGCCTTTTGGAGCAGTGCTGCACATAGACTCCTAACAAGTCTTCTGTACACAATAATTAATAAATTCACACAGATCATTTTTGGTTAACGTAGGCCTACGTAAAGTACTAATAAGTTACTATAGTTGTTAACTCATTTTTGTGCGTTTTCAATTTCCGTGGAAAATGGACAACTTGCTTGAAACAGGAGATTCGTTTCAGTTATTTTATGGAATTTGCCTCCAGATTGCTTCAAGCAAGTTTGCAAACAAAATTAATGAGAAACAGCTGGCAAAATTGTTCTGCAAATAAATCTGTTGTGAACAAGGCTTAGCAGACCATTGGGGTGTTTAGGTTATGCCACTAGCCAACGAAGCAACACAGATTAAAGAGTAGACATGTCTACTCTTTAATCTGTAGTAGCATGTATGTTAATGTTGAATAAAAAGTAGGCTTAACCATTCTAACCTAAACTAATAGTATGATTTAAATTTAACATAAGCCTAGGGCCTAGGCCCTAATTGATGACAAAACTTTTGAAACAAGTTAGCCTATCTTGAAGTCAAAATATAAATTGTGCTAATGTGAAACATTGTAACTTTTTAAAAATAAAGTAATACAAACAAAAAATAGGCAAATATTTCGACACTAGCCAGTTTCTAACCTAAAATCCTTATATGAGTACTAAATAATTTCAATACCTTCATTCTTAATCCTAAGCCCAAGCATATTTGTTTGTTAACTTCCTTTAAAACATTATTGAATCTGAAAACAGAGTTGATGTTGATATTTATTTGATAAATCAGATCATTAACTAAAATTAAAATTAACCTTATTACGAATTCAAATTATGTTTGACAGCTCTAACCCTCCAACAAAGCAAAATACTGTTCTTTTACTTTTCTACACACTGAGTATTTTAAGACATAGCCATGTAGCTAAGAAGTATGAGAAATTGGGATCTGAGGGTAGCCTCAATGATTATGAAAGAATTGTTTTTATGACTAGTGACTATCACTTTTGGCTATTTAAAATGGGTTAAGTAAAGGAAAGAGGATTTTATCATAATTTCGCAGACATTACTCTTTACGGTGGATCTAATGATATATAAAAGTCAATTATGTGACTTAGCATGGACAGGGATTGTTAACATGGCATTCGGCCATAATAATATTATGGCCGAAGATGATAGGAAGATCATCTTCCTACTAGACTGTACCCTTGTGGAGAAATCGTGTATTTTGTGGAGTGACTCATCCCTATTCCCCCAAGCCCTGTTGCAATCTAAAAGGATTTAACATTATAATCTTTATAATGTTAAATCCTCCTATCGTCCTCCGCAGAGCATATTTTAAGGGATTTCCACTGGGCGACAGTACCGGGGGGGGGGGGGGGTCTGAGGGGCATGGAATATCCCCTATCAAAAAGGGGGGTCCGGTTAAGTTAATTCTTAAGTTAAAGTGAAAATCACACATTGCTACGTATCTTTTAATGAATTTTCCGATTATATTTGCTTGTAAAAAGTCCATTATAATCTCACTTAATTAGGCATTCTAGAACGTTGTAACAAGCCAAGGCTCCCTTCACAACCTCTTGGGCCAAAATTATAGCTCAATACTCTAAAATATTTACATAATGTAATTTTTTAAATTCCGATACATTTAAAATGTGAATCATAAAAAAAAAAAAACGCCGGCACCACCCATAGTCCCTGGGCGACAAAATCTGAGCACTGGGTGACACAAGTGTCGCCCAGTTAACATGTTATTTTATGCCCTCTGGCTCTGGAGGTTGCAATGGGATAATGATAAGAGAAAGATAATAGAATAGTGTTTGGTGAACACCATTTCACCATTGCTTCGTCAACCAATTTAAGAAATATTGCTGGTTAGTCACCACTGTAGAAGAAATAATACCCCCGCTGCAGCAAAGCTGCCGACTAAACCAATTTCCATTTGCCTGGACTGAGATTCAATTATCTATTAAATTTAGCATTTATGTTTAACGAGTACCTAGGTTAGCAGCTACAGGGAAACTAATAAAGTGTGTTTTTTATTAAAATATCAATAGCTTATTATGATATAAGTAAATCTGCCAAGTTTGATCAAAATATATCCATAAACAAGCCAACTACAACGTTTTAAAATATTCTCCATAAGAATAACATGGGAATTTGAAATTAACAAGTTTTGAATTTTCTCCGTAACCAATCACCGTACAAAAAAACTCTGGTATACTAAATTATTTGTTTTTTTAAGCTTTTTAAAAAGGTTTCTGGAGAAAAATTTATAAATTTTTTTGTTTTAAGAGTAAAAAAAGAGAAAAACCCATTTTTATCCCATTAAAAAACAACCCATTTTTACCCCCGTTAAACCCCGTTCCCATGGTCAGATCATGCTGGTTTGCGAACTCATTCAAGTTTATACCAACTTACAACTTCAAACCAAATTTGATCAAAATCGGACAAAAATTACTCAAGTTATCGTCCGGACGGACACACACACATATATACAGGGTGAGTTTCTACTGACCGTGTTAACTTCGCCAGTGGGTTCTACTCACTAAAAGGAACAAAAAAGTTATTGAAAGGTATGTCCGAAAATCCATATTTACCCAGATATCCGCCATTTTGTTTTTTATACAAAAATATTTTTATCTGTGAAGTTTTTTATTCGATGATTATGAAACTTGGTAGACATGTTACCATACACAAGACCTATAATAGAAAAAATAATAAAGTGGTTCCGATTGTAAATTTCAAAATGGCGGCCGTTTGAATTTTTCTAACTTAAATAACTCAAAAACGGCTAATTCTATGAAAAAATGTCAAGGATACTTTTGTGTCAAACCGGTTTTTGTGTAAAAATAAGACAAAAATTAAGGGTTCCCCGACTAACTTTGCCTTGTTTTTACACAAAAACCGTTATATTTCAGTTATCTTTTGTCGAGTTATTTAAGTTAGAAAAATTCAAACAGCCGCCATTTTGAAATTTACAATCGGAACAACTTTATTATTTTTTCTATTATAGGTCTTGTGTATGGTAACATGTTAACCAAGTTTCATAATCATAGAATAAAAACTTTACAGATAAAAATATTTTTGTATAAAAACAAAATGGCGGATATCTGGGTAAATATGGATTTTCGGACATACCTTCCCATAAACTTTTTTGTTCCTTTTAGTGAGTAGAACCAACTGGCGAAGTTAACACGGTCAGTAGAAACTCACCCTGTATATATATATAGATATATATATTCATATATAAGCATTTTAACGAATGGTGTTTTTGGCCTCTGGGGACATCAAAATGAAAAAGTAAATCGGTCCCGGGCCTAGGTCTTACCATGAGCATGAGACCTGCGGTAATAGCTACTTCCCTATAGGGAAATTCGCTAAAACTATTCATACCATGAACTCTTTGACACCCTCCTAACATTTACAAAACAATTATATTTATATAAGAAAACTATTGTGACACTATTTCATGTAAACAATCCGTAGGATACAATTATTCTGATGCCTTTTGTAGTTTTGTTACGGACTAAGAGACTAAGGCCAGCTGTTTATTAAGTCTGGACCATTTGATAAAGGACCCCCATGATGAAGGACAGAAGGACACCTGAGTCTAGTTTAACAACTTTCTAAAAAAAACTACACATTTCCTCATAAACTAAAATCACATGATTATAATAATTCACGGAGACAATAATTCCGACTCTTTTAAAATCTGTGGTTAAGCGATTTGATTATTAACACTGATGTTTAGATTATTTTTTTCGGCCTTTTAGATTATAATCACTAGTCTCCATCTTTACTTAATCACATACTGCACTTCCTCTTTTGTACAATCTGACATTTACAATATTGTTGTGGAGTCATATTTGTGCCATCTCATCCATGGTGGAATCTCTTCTTACATTTACAATACTGTTGTGGAGTCATATAATACAATAACTTGGAGTCAGCGATCTCTTGGCAAATTGTATCAATAGGTTACTGGGTTTAAACAGAATACAAATTATGACTGAATAAAAAAAACATTTATTTAAATTCCAAAATACATTTGCTAAGTAACAGCATAGACCTAAAGTAAAATTTATATACTTAGCGGTGTAGCATAAAATTCTATCTTTTGTATGTATTACTAATGAGAATTGGTTGACTAATTAAAACTATATTTACAAGGTAGATTACAAAAATTACATTACCAACTTAATAAAACCTTTTTAACATGTGTATTTATCAAATAATTTTTGTGATGAAAATGAAATAACTAAACGTTGGAAACGAGGAACATAAAATTTAAATAAACTATTATTTAATATAGTATACTACCCCTACTCCTTACTAACTAAAAAAAAAACATCCCGAGATTCCTATAATACCCAAATTGGAACAGCAAAAAGGAAACAGTTTTTTTTTGTCTTGGCCAATTGTTTTGTTTTTGTACCTATAATTTTATAAGACCAATGGCATCTCTTAAAGTTCGGTACACAATTTAAAACTCCAACTTGTCTGTGCAATAATAATATCATTCACAGAGATGTTCTTTATGCTTTAGGGTCACAAAGAGAAAAGTTCAAAACTAATCAAAAACTGTTAAATTAAAATGTAAGTAAATAAATTTAAAAAAAGTCCCATAGCACTGTAATAAGCCTACTATAATAATGTCAAATTAAAGTTAATCAACATTAAACCCTTGTTTAGTTGGCATGTTGTTGATTAATACATTTAATTAAGATACTATCTAAGATAATATTATTCTGTAAAAAAAAAACTGTTCATACACTTTGGCTTTAACATTAAAAGAATATCAAACAAAACTCATAGAGAAAGCACTATAACTATTGTTTTATAAATAAAGGAAAACTATAAACTAACATATTATGTTCAAAGTTAAAACTGAAATATTAAAAAAACATTCATTTAATTCAGAAAAGATACAACACTATGCATAGTTACTAGATAACTCAAAGAACATGTTTTGTATATATCTTATATTTTATATCAGTCTTTAAAGACTACTCGTCATAACCAAATAGTTAATTCTAGATGCATAATTACTCCAGGTAAAGTACAAATAATTTTAAGTTCAACAGCTGCACTTTTGAAGAAATTGATAAAGAGGTTTTATGACAAGGGAATGAGAGTTTATTACTTGAAGTAAAAGAATGAACACTATCATTATTGTTATCATTATCAACTGAGATGGGGACCCAATTTATATTTTAAACCAAATATTAACGAAGGATGAGTGTACAACAGAGTGTGATGCCTTGTATACTGTATAGCTTTGTTACCCTCTAAAAACAGCGGTTTTATTAATCAGGTCCATTGATATAAATCATATGCTTAGCTAAAGCATATTCAGTGTCTAGTATATTTTGGTGTTAGGTGGTTAGTCTTCTCCATTGCTGTGGTGTTGGGTCGCCATAGTGTAGGCAGCTCCTACAACAACACTTCCTACACAGGCACCTTGGGCAGCTACCCTCAGTTGCATCAGGTACTGGGGCGTAGACATGGTCAGGGGACGGCGAAACCTATAGGCACCTACTGCACAAACTCCCGTCATAGCTAACAACCCTGTAACAAACACACATAATACAGATATAAATACACACCTATAAAGCTGTCAAAACTTAACCTTAAAATTTGAATGACAACATCTGAGCTAGAGACTGGATGTATCACAGAATGAGAGAATTGAGAGACGTTGGCCGCCATTCGTACTAGAGGTAGAATACATTGTTTACTTAGTACATTGAAACATTACATTAGTGGCAGACTAGTGGGAATTAATAGGGACTGCAGGATTGAAATGAAACCAATGAGCTTCATTACAAAAATTGTAAATGTAAAGTCTGAAAACTAGTTTTTATAGTAACATGTTATGGTAATGATGAGATTTTTCTTGTACAACCCATATACAAACTTAAAGAGGGGATATTAATGTATATTTTTATTTAAGTGGGGTCCATGGGCCACCATTCTGTAATGGGTTGAGATGGAGACCTTTAGTTTACTACACCAATATTATTTTTAACTATTGGCCTTTAAAATAAGTTGTCACTTGAAGGGGCTCTACATTAAACATTTTTGAGCTACCCCCAAAGACGCCCATTATGGGGTTTCAGACAAAATTGGAATGCAAAAAAGTATATTTTTATGCCATATAGGGGTTAGCAGAGTTTAGTTTTTCTGGTGTAACGGTATAACCTATTACAGAATAGTTATTTTGAGGTGTCTATACATTTTGAACAACCCTGTATATTTGTTAGGATTAAACCATACAAGTATACCATACTACTTTTATACATTTAAATTTTAATAGAACATCTACATTAATAATATGAACATTTAACTGAAAAGTAGGAACACTTTCTAATAGCTCTTATTTAACTTTCTTGAAAAAAAAACTGGACAATGCATAGCACTGCTGCTGCTGAACAAAAAATATTCTTATTTCTTAAAGTAAAACTTATATTTTAGGGTACAAGTTAAAACAAGTTTGGTGCAGATTTAATTTTATAACCAATATCATTGTTCTGGAAGAACGATAGGAGAGTTTAATAGAAGAATACATCAAGATAAAAACAGCAGCTTAAAATGGCTTTGGAAGTTCCAGCATAAAATACATAGATTCAATATAGAGATTAAACAACAAAGCCAATCTAAGTACTCAAGTTTGTGAGAAGTTAAAGCAGTTCTGATAAGATAGGGGAGTTGAAAAGTTTGTTGTTCATGTTGTAGTCTTACCAATTCCAAAAAATGGACTTTCTTTCAGCTTTCTCGCAAGTTTGTCAGACTGCGACTCGAACTGGTTCTGATCTCTGATTTCATCTGAAATGAAACCGAAAGTTTTAAAGTTATGGACTGATTCCAATAATCTTGTTTCATAAAATTTGTTCTCTTCATGGTAAATAAAAACATGAATTGTGAATACCGTAACTTACTTGATCTGAGATTGAGGAAATATAAAAATATTACTGGTAATCACTACTTGCACAGTGGGGGCGATAAGAACCCGCGCCCCCCTCTCCTAATAATCTTTAAAAACATTATCAAAGGTATTTCCACCTAAGCTTGTAATTGGCCTTGGCTCGGCAGTATTGGCCGAGTGGGTGGATGCTATTTTTTTGTCTTAGGATGCTAGGCATGACCCTGGAATTTTTTTCACATTGCTTTAGGCTAGACCTAGGGTTACGGCATTATCACTTAGATAAAATCCATTGGTGATTTAGCGGGATTTGAACCCGGGACCCCAGACACTGGAGTCCCGCGCTCTAACCACTAGACCTGCTCGCTCCCCCAGGGTGTATGCTATAGGCAATGATCTTTCTGCGAACATCCCACTACTGACTCACATCTAAGCTTTATTAGATGCAACTTGCATGATTGCAGACAATATTTGAATTAGGTTAGTAGAGAATTTTAACGATCGGTCAAGTGTCAGTTTAGCTTTTGTAAAACTACTTAATCTAGCGCTATAACTGGTAAAAAAAAAATTACATCATAAAAGACGTCTGGTAATACTTTTATAAATATTGTTATGATAGAGGGGCCCAAGTAGCAAGGCCAGTCGGGTGTCTGAGTTTCGGAAAAACTTTTCAAGAATCCCGGTCAAGGCTCGCAGGTCTCGCAGGTCGCCCAACTCATCGCTGCCACTGTATATTCAGTAAACATATCTAAATATTATAAACTATTTAGAACATTATAGACTTCAAAATGTTTTAGACAAAAAAATTTGCTGTTTTAATAATAAAGAAAAATAGTTGATTTGTCCAAGTAAAAATTACCAGGGTAAAAGTAAATAGCACAGGGTATATATAAATGGTTAACTTTCAAATACCAACTTTGCACAGAAAACAATCTTAAAATCAAAACTTGACAGTTAAATATGTGTTTGGTATTTAAAAATAAAATGACAATTTTATAGAATTAACCCACACATTTCGTGTTGAAAGTTTGAAAATACAACTACACACATGTTATATGTTTCTTGTAGCACTGATTCATTTATTATCCTAATAAAATTGTTTGAAATAAAAAAGAGACAGTTTTTTTTTTTACTTTTTATGAACAAAATCGCAATAAATCTGAAGAAACATAAGTTTGTTAAAACTAAAACATAATACAGGGCGTTTATAAAAGAATCATCAGGTTTCAATGGCGTGTACCTCACCCAATTCTTGTCCCACATTAATATTTGAAACATGTGATCAAAAAGCATGTTTCCAAGTTTTATAATCAGCTGTTCAATAATCAGTCTTGTTTTTTTCTTGGACGTGATTCATCATTTTCAAAATTATTACAATTCAAGAAAAAAAACATTTTGTGTTTTTCATTATGACTTAAGTTGATCATCAATAACCGTCCAGCGTGAGTTTCGGGGGCATTTTAGACAGACTCCTCCTACACACCAAAGCATTTTAAGGTGGTATCGCCAGTCTTATAACTCTGGAAGTGTATTAAAACGTAAAAAGTGGTCAGCAAACGAGTTATTTTAAAAACTAAGGTGGATTGGCAAAATGTAACGATAATGACTTTTCCCTTCTCAAATGCCCCCCTAAGATCCCCTGATCTTTCGGTGTGTGATTTTTTCCATGGGTTTATGTTAAAGACAAAGTTTATAGGCCTAAACCGCCAATGCCTTAAACACTTCAAGAGCTCCGTGGACGAATTCGCAATGCCGTAGAATCAATCAACCTTGTGATGCTAGCCGGTGTATTAGACAATTTACAGCACAGATTGTAAACTTGCTCCACGGCTAATGGGTGGCACATTGAGCACTTGTAGGGGTATCTATGAAAAATTTAAGAGTTCTCCTTAATGTTGATATATTTTATATCCGTATTTGTTTAAAATTAACTTCAATAAAATGTTTTAAAACCTGATGATTCTTTTATAAACGCCCTGTATTATTCATCAGGTTTTTAAACCACCAATTTTTAAACCCTAGGCAACAAGTAGCCAGTTTTATGAGGAGGACAAGAAAACCAAGGTAAAATCCCAGAGAGCTGTAGACTAAGCCAACAAACAACTAACTGAGCCTAGGGATCAATCAGGGGTCGAAACTTTGCCCCTCTATATCCTGCTACAGTATCACTTTACAGAAAAACTTACTTACTCCACATTTAACACATTTTGGTAGAATTTTGCAAAACTTATTGTCGTTTTACAATATTATTCTTTTATAAGAAAATGTGAATATACAAATAACATGATAGAAAGCAGCTTTAGACATAAAAAGGGTGATTTTAGTTAAAAAAAGAACACGATTTAGATGATTGTTTTTTTAAGGATTATGGTAAACGATAATGGTTTTTGTAAAGAAAATTAAAAAAAGTATTTGTCACACTTTACCCTAGATGCATGTTCTTCCGTATAGATATTACATTAATAATGACTTATACCATAGATAAAACATACTCCCTTAGTGTATGTGTTGGTTAGTCTATGCTTATACTATGATAGCCGGGTATGGCCCGTGCCTCGCAACGGGAAGAGAACTAACGCTAAAGAGAATGATCATGTTCTCTAGATCTCCTGCATGAAAAGTTATTTACTTTTCATGTAGGTTAATCGGGAATATGAGCTATCAACATGCCAAATTTCAGCTTAATCCGACCAGTACCTAGTTAATCCGTGAGTTAGCCCCAAACAAACAAACACACAAACATTTACATTTATAATATTAGGCGGGTTACACACCGGTATCTCCAACATGATGTCGCAGATATTTTTCGTGCCTGCGACATGCCCCTTGAAAACCAACCTATGTTAACTTATGGAGCTATACACACCAGTGTCGCAGACACGTTGCCTGCGACTCGTGTCGCAGACGCGTGTCTCGAGCGAACCAACCAGTCGGTGTTTGGACAGACATGTCTCATGTCTCCTGGTCCCGCGCATGCGCAGAACACGTTTCTAGTAGTTTTGGCGCTTTTTTATTTACTTAATTGCCTTATGGTGTGAAATGCAGTATTGTGATATTATAATACTTCAATTGACACCATAAGGAAATTACGTAAGTACTGTAATACAATTAATTAGAATGTATTTTGGAAAAATTACTATGAAGTTATCTTTAATGTTTTTTTAGAAAGAACAACAGCGACAACACATAATCTTTTTCTGACGATGACTTCATTTAAACTGATGAATGTTGTGATTCCTTCACTTTCATGTCGCCAGCACGTGCCTCTTCCCATGGTTGTATTTTATTATATGTCGCAGACATCATGCCCGCGATATCAGAAATATCTGCGACATTATGTCTGCGATACCGGGGTGTAACCCGCCTTAGTATGAAGTATGATGATTACACCCATGTCTGAGTAAAATTTTCCTATTTTAAAACTAATTTTGAATGCTTTAGATAATTACAACCAAAAGGCGATTTCCACAGCCATCATACTTGATAATAACTTAAATAAACACATAATTATTTACTGAAAACAGAATAAAATCAACCTCGGCTAGTAATGAACTCACAAAGTTTTTAAGTTTCCTTAAAATTAAAAAAAATCTAAATGTAATGCTATAATATGTGCTTGTTATACTAAAGCAAACACTTTCACCAAAATCAAAATCAATATTAATAAGGTGCAACTATCCAGTTTGGCAGACAAACTTTGACTGCAAAGACGAAACAATTTCATTAACTAAACTAAGTTCCTTTATAAATGACTTGGCTTAGGGATCTACCACTACAGCCTTCCCAAACTGATAAAGCCCAACTAACATCAACCAACTAATCCAACCAGCTTACAACTACTGTACTAACACTGGGGTCTACATAACTTGGTTGATCTCTCTCTATTTAACTCCATTGTTTCTCCGTTGGTTGTGTTTACCTATTTGATTACTAGACTTTTAACTGCCAGGATTGCTTTTAGAGCAATGAAAGCCACTTGATCAGAGGGATAGTGTTTTATAATTATGTCATGAAGTAATAAATTAAAACAACGTGTATAGATGAAATAAATCTATTTTATTAATTGAAATTATAAGTTAAAAGATATGCATTTAAAATTAATCTCATCAGCAAACTGACATATACTTTCTCTCGTTAGCTTTTGTCGACAACCCTTGAAAGGAGTAAGTGGTGGGGGTAACTAATCGTATATCTTATAAGAAAGTCACAAAAAATGCAATAACTTTTGTACCGCAATTTTTACAGGGGTTAAACCATTTTGTTTGGAGTTAATACAATCAACATACTAAATATGATCAAAATATTTTGGGCCGTTTTTGTGAAAATCCGATTTTTTTGTTATTTTATGGAAAATCACCATTAATAATCAAAACTACCAAAAGATGAAAAGACGTGCAGAAATTTAATCAAAATCAGACTTCAGGTGTAGTCTTCAGATCTGTACACATCTACACATACAAACCCCACGCCCAGACATTTTTGGAAACCTCTTTTTTGGATTCAGGGGGGCAAAAAACATTTCCACCCAAAACTAAAACTTGAAATTTTTTACAAAATCATTACTTTATCCATATTATTATGTATAGGGGGAGGAAGTAAAAAAGTGGAATTATGTCCAATAGTTAATTTAAAGATTCTAATAATGTTCAAGTGGAGTAAAATCCACCACTGCAGTCTTCAACGAAAGCATAAATTTAACTATAATTAAGAGCATATTTAGTGTACGGTTTCAAAGTCTAAACCCAAAATTTGGGAAACTGTAATAAATTACAAGACTACTAGAGTGTGAAATACAGTAATGTCGAAAGTCTTTGCTGATTCTTGAATTAACCACAAGATCCAGAACCTCACTGCACTGGATTTTTTAATTAATTTAGTTATTAGTTATTACAGTTGGACATTATGAAATACACAAACGTATGCAAAGTAAACGTTTACAGTTAAATCAACCAATAAGAAATACTGTAACAAAAAACAGAAGATGACACAAGAAAGTAGAATGAATCAAATTCCTCACTCAAATTCCTCAGGAAAACATTAAAATAATCACCCACTACAAATAACATATGCAAGAAGCTGGCAATGACACGAGAAAGCTTCAATAAATCACAATAAATTGAACACTTTTGCCAGAAGATGGCAGCACACAATAAAGCTATAACAGGTAAGGTTTAGGTAAGGTTTAGCTATAACAGCTAAACTAAACTTTGATCTCTCGTAACTTCTCGTGTGAAATGCCACTGGCGTAGAAAAAAAAAAAAAAAACACTCTTTAAATCAAATGTGTCACCCAACCAACAAAGTTAATCCCAACACCAAACTAAATTAATTTGCTAAGGTAAGGAAAATTAAAGCAAGAATATTTTCTACGAGTGGAGGACATGTTTGTTAGTAACACCAAACTACAAACTCAATTATACAATAATGCATTCCAGAGACGGTGCTCTCATCCAAGCTAAGATGGAGAGGAGGTTGTAAAAGTCACAAAATTCAACAAAGACAACAACACAAAATAACAGAAACATTAATCTTACCTATCATTTGTGAAGGTGCTTTTTGAAAGTGCCTAAGTAAGTCTTGTCCACTGCAGGGGAAATTCATCAGAGTCCCTGCCATCCCCATGTGGCTTATCATTCTTTTACTTCTTTCCACCAAACTGTTCCACTTTACTGGGGGTAAAAAAATAGCGGTGTAATTTTTTTGGAGCAATAAAAATTGTTAATAGTATTTAGAGTGTGATTATTTCATAGCCTACTGTAAAAAAATACAAATCAGCGCAACACTATCGTCAAACCATTCTCCTGGGTCCTGGGTCAGCTTTTAAAGTTTGATTTTAAAATAAGAATAAAACTGATTTCTGAAATACTCTCAAAATCTAACTTTTTAGAGAAAACTAATTCTTCTTTAATCTTGTAACAGATTTTGATGGAATAAATAATTAATTGTGCAGACATTTTTTACTTTGAATTTTAAATATTACTCTAGGACCTTTAGATGCAGCAGCCTTGCTGTGTAAAAGGGAGTTGAGACATGTAGCTGATTGCCCCTATTGATTTTTTGGTGGGATAGGAAACACCTTAGAATCTCATAATTGCCCAGACCATACAGACGTTTTGTTAGCGATATTGGATGACTTATAATTGCATAAATAATAGTTATAAGTAGTCTCCGCCATAATGACATCAAATCCAAATTGCATGGTAATGTATATCCAAATATATTACCACTGTAAAAAATTATATTTAGACATACTAGCCATAAACAATTAATCATTAACTTTATAATATAACACATGAAGAAACTTAAAATAAAAACTATTGTAAGACAAATTCAGAATTTATCTACCATGATTGAAGATTGAAGACTTTTCAATTTACTTTGAGACGAAAAGGTGAAATTAAAAACCACCTATTATTATAGTCACCCACCTGTATTGATTTTCAACTACAATTCGATATTGGTGATCACTTTTCCAATGAACTATCTATTCAATGTAAAATAGGCAAACCCTTTTAAATCAGAATAATACCTACAAAATTATAAAAATAGCAAAAACTGAATGAAATATAAGTCCTTAATCTATAGCCCATATGCTAGTAATTACACATTTCAATCAGAAAAAAAAATTAAGTATAAAATTAAAAAAGTAAAATATATCAACCTCTACTACTTGTTTGAAGGGGCAAAACCTTCCACATAAACACAAAAGCCAAAAATAATGATTCACGTGGTGTAACTAACATGATTTGTATTATGTTAATACCATTGACTGGGCCAATACTTACCGAACACCAATAACTCTGCACCATCCATGATCCAGCATGTGACAACCAACTAACTTGATACACAGACGAAGAGACGACACTCGGACACTGATACTGGAACGGCGATGTGATTGTTGTGGCTGTGGGGTTGAAGAGGGGAGGGGAGGCCGTGGCGGACGTGCAAGGTTATGCGTAGCCTCCACCTGATACGCGCGAGATCCATGCAGTGGTCCGAAAGGCAGTGCTCCGAAAGGCACTGGTTCGAAAATCATTTTCGGACTACTGCCTTTCTGAGTACTGCCTTTCGGAGCAGTGCCTGACCATGCTAAATCTGTCGGACCAGTGCCTCATCTCTGCATTATTTTCGAACCACTGCCTCTCGGACCACTGTCTTTCGGAGCAGTGCCTGAGCGTGCAGATTGTTTCGAACCAGTGCCTTAGCAATGCATTCTTTTCTGACCACTGCCTTTCGGAGTAACGCCTGGGCTCCAACATTGGTTGAGGGAGGAGCAAGAACCGAAGGCGGAGACCCTTTGTAGGGGAAGGAGGGGGTGTGTCAGTGGTGGGCGGAGTCAGAATGCCACGGTCATTGACGAGACCTTCTCTGGAGGAATAACCCAGCACCACCGCGCCATCCCGAGCGCTTCCGAACCATAACGAATATAGCCGAGGTCAGAATATAACGCCTTATGTCGTCTGTCTGGAATCGGGACAGCGGAATTGAAATCGGAACGAAACATCGGAGCGATTTCTTCCAATCCCGAGCCTCCTTTAAACACTGATAGGAATAGATTAGTCGTTTAATGATGTTATGTAATTAATTATAAACTATTTGCAGACCAATTATTAAAAGCTAAAAAATCCTATGTAAGCCAAACTAATCCTTTAATCTTCCTCAGTATATATTTATCCTTTTAAAAAATCTCCTATGTTTTCTGGAAAAATAAATAGTGAAATTCAATCTACCTATAGTTAGGCAACAGTTTTAAAGTAGTTTTGAACAAAAAACTTTTTAGTTAAATGCAGAAAGCTATGTGGAAATAAATGATATTTTACATGTTTAGACACAATAGTAACAAGTACTTTGTTTGAAGTTCATTGTTGGTGATGGTGAGTTAATGTTGTTCAAAGGTTTATTGCGGACATTTTCCATCACGAAAGTAAAAAACAATACACAACGTTTCGGGATCTGGAATCTGATCCCGTCTTCAGGTTGGGCGTTTGTGTATTGTTAGTTGTAATGTGTTAGTTAAGTTTTTTCACCTGAAGACGGGATCAGATTCCAGATCCCGAAACGTTGTGTATTGTTTTTTACTTTCGTGATGGAAAATGTCCGCAATAAACCTTTGAACAACAGTAACAAGTAAGTAGATTTTTTCGTAAACATACCCCTTATTTTAATTAGGTACTGTTAGTTTTCCTATCCATATAGTATTATCTAAATTTAATTATGCCAGTTGTATAGCTCATTCCGTCTGATATGCGAAGTTAACATTGCTATTATTTTTTTAGCTTCTTAATTGAAATCAATGTGGCCTATCCAAAAACACCAACTTACCTAAGATTAGCAATATCCTATTATTAGAATGCTACGGTAATAACTTATTCTCTTTTGGGAAACTTGCTAAAATTATATCCAAGTGTTGGTATTGATTACTATTTATTAGATCTCGTTCGTTTTTTAAGATAACGATACATTATTGTTTAATGCACCTGTTTGAAAAGAAAACTTACAGTTACGTTACCTATAGGAAGGAACTTAGCATTTCATTTATTCCCGTAGGAATTAGATTATACAACACAGTATGAATAAATATTGATGGTGAATAAGTCTTTTTATTTCGGTTGGTCGCCTACGTTTAATTCCTTTTAAAGACTAATAACTGGAAACATAAGATAGCAAATGAGAGACACCATAACATAATATCTAACCAAATGCCAAAATAAATATTACAAGTTTAATTCATTATAGGCTACTTTGAATCCTCAAATGAAACTTAATTGGATGCTAGTTTAAATGAGTAAAGCGATTGCTACTGCTACAAGAAAATGAAGTAAACACATCTAAATACATTTTAAAATGTAGGTAGGCCTATTCAATCAAAATTCAACTCCCTTAACATATGTAAAACATAAATAGTTGTAAGTCCTCAAAAAATAACCAAATTCGAATGTTAAAGTAACGCGTAAAATTAATAAAGTGAATTATAATTAGAAAACTGAGAAGATAGAACAAAATTTGACACTCTCTTCTAACAGTAAGGGGCTGTCGTCAAGATGCTACCCCGACAACACGCCACCATCTAGAAAGTCGGAGTGTTGGGTTGACTTGTCCGGCCATTTAAGTGTCATACCAAAAGAATGGTAATTAATTATAATATATAGTACATTGTCGTTCTGTCCGCCAGTAATTTTAATACGGGAATGTTTGATTTCTTCATAAACCCCTTTGTACTGCCGTTGATTATGGACGCTAACTGAAAACAAGTGCATGTAATACACCATATATAAATACCCCCGCCGCAGCAAACCTGCAGACTAAGCGAATTTCTATTTGACTGATTGGATTTACACTGAAATGTCTACTTAAAAATATAACATTTATTCCCGATTTAAATACAATTAGTTTAACAAGTACTTAGGTTTGCTGCATCAGGGAGGGTAAAACTGTTTTTTTTTTGTAAAATGTTAATAGTTAGTAAGAAATAAAAAAAATTTCCAAATTTGATCAAAATATGTTCATAAACAAGCAAACTACAACAGTTTACTTATTCTCCATAAGAATAACATGGGAATTTTAAATTTACAATTTTTTGGAATTTTCTCCGTAACCATTAGGCGCATAATAACGCTTCAATATACTAAATTATTTGTTTTTTTAAGCTCTACAAAATGGTTTGAAAATAAATTGCTAAATTTTATGTTTTTTGGGTCAAAAATGGGAAAAACCTATTTTTACCCCATAAAACCCCCCGTAAACACCCGTTCCCATGGTCCGATCATGCTGGATCGCGAACTCGTTCGAATAAACGTAGGTTTACACGTTTGTACCAAATTTCATCAAAATCGGATCATTTTTGCTCGAGTTATCGTGCTGACGGACACATATATATATATATATATAAATATATAAATATATAAATATATAAATATATAAATATATATATATATATGAATTTGAACGGATGGTGTTTTTGGCCTCTAGGGACCTCAAAATGAAAAAAAAAATCGGTCCCGCGTCCAGGTCTTACCATGAGTACTACGGTAATAGCTTATTCCCTATATGGGAAATTCGCTAAAAGGGAAAGTGATTCACATGATATTATTTCTTTGTACTATCCGTCACTAATTACTGTACAGAAACATCATTTTCCTGCCAGCAGTAAGCCATTTACACTATCGTCGATTATAGGCGCTAACTAGAGCTACAGTTAATAATAAACAAGGTATAGTACGTCAACTTGTGACCTACAGATATACGAACTGTCAATTAAGTTAAATTGTAATATATAACCAGTAGTATAGTCAAGATATGAAAAAAACCCCTTAACCTTAAAAACATTGCTCTAAAAGGTTTTTTGATGGTTTTCATTTCCAAAAAGTATGTTAAATAACATACTAAAAGTCTAATAAAATCGGAGTCTCGGAAATTGGGGTTTTCCAATATGGCGTCCAAAAATTAAAAAAAATAAATAAACCTTACTATTTTCCCTGTAAATTTTCTTCTGAACCTCAAATTTAGACCGAATTTGGTACAAACCTTTGAAACTGTATTATCTATGAACTATTTATGATTTAAGATAAATAATATACAGTAAACGTGTTGTATTGGGTTGAAAATAGGAAAAAACTGTCTTAAGTTGTTAGTAGTAAATAACTTATTTCAATTTTGGTCACTATAGGGAACAAAACTTTTTATCCCTAGTCTGTGCTATACCCATGTTGTAAATCCTTAAAAATATATGCAATTTAGTATTCTTAATCATTAAATTATCTTAAGTGGTGGTGGGATAGTTATAAAAAAACTATGTAATTCTTATGGGAATTCTGAAAATTACCATTACTTAAATGTATGCGAAATAATATACTAAAAGTCTAATAAAATCGGAGTCTCGGAAATCGGGGTTTTTTTACAAAATGGCCAAAATTTCCAAATTTCTCTAAAATATTTCCATAGACAAGCAAGCTTTAAGACTTTATTTATTCTCCATAAGAATAACATGGTCATTTTAAATGTACATTTTTTTATTTTCTCCGTAACCGTTAGGCACACAACAACGCTTCTGTATACTAAATTATTTGTTTTTATGATCTCTTCAAAATGGTTTGGAAATAAATTGCAACTTTTTACAGTGAAAAATGGGAAAATCCCATTTTTTCCCCGTAAAAAATAGGAGATCTTAAGCATACTCAATTTTTAGGCTTAACCTAGACACAAATCTTAAATATACTCAAATCATTATACAAAAACTTTCTTCATGGTTATATGTTTTTAGGCCATTGTCATTAATGTAACCTGGACAATCTAATATTTTTAAAAATATTTTGTCTTATGGTCTGGCAATCTATGGAGGAACGCCCAAAAAGTTTAGATACAATTCTGAAACTCTAAAAATGCTATAAGAATCATGCTATACTTAGACAAACGATAACTGTAAAAGATCAATTTTCAAAACTACACATTTTGACTGTCTGATCAATAAATATATACTATAACTAGTGGCCTGTAGGGGCCATAGCCTCTAATCTAGACTACAATAAAAAAACCATATATAAAAAGACAAATATTCGAAATATGTTTTTAAAATTATCAATTTTATGTTACTTAAAATTAACAGTGTTTCTTTTTTTATATCTTGGTTTTCCTTCCGTTGGAGTCGTATATTAGATGCTTTTGATGTATCAATGAAATACTATGGTAAAATAATGATTAAATCAATAACACAACATAACAAATGGAAACGTGCACACGGTTTGGCCTGAGCCCGGAGAACGACGAATCAGAGCTAAAATCATACTGCCAAACATAGCACATCTTTTCTAGTTTAAAATTGAAGATTTGTTTTGTAATCTTACAAATCCTGTCATAGTTTCCATTTTGA